ACCTAACCTGTGACCGCCGCGTTTCTGTAAGGTTGTATAAGCACTCTCGAAAGTCGGGTGGAAGATAATAGAAAAAGAAAACACTTAGAACACCATTTTGAGAGGTACGTGATGATCGTGCATCAAGAATGCATTATTTGTCAGCAGCAGCAGTTGTGGATAGAAAGATTTATGCAGAACTGGTGCGTGCGTGCGGGCGTGATATGATGGCCATTTTATCTGAGCTCAAACCTCCATGGTCACGCTGTTCTCCCAATGAGTGTGAATGACTGTGTAGTGGCACATAATAGACCGCGATATGCACCTCCAGACCACGGAGTATTATAGGCAGTAACGTTACACTGTACGGAGCATAGCCTGTCAAATTCCTGACCTAGCCATCCACCACGGCATGGCCGGCACCTGTCCGCCTCCTTCGAGCACACTCTTCATTTGCAAAGAACACCCCCTTGCTTATCACCCCGGGACGCATGAAACAGCAGGCAGGATGTTCGACGGTAATGTAGTGAGGTAACGGTGGCTGGTACCACAAACGACAGTTTGCGCACCTGTAAATGACCTCATAGCATTAGCAAATACGTTACATGTACAGTGTATGTACATTATTGCATTTACTGCGCAATATGCTGGTCCACACTTTCCGAAGTTTCGTAATGGGACAGGCACTACTCAATTAGGCCCCGACGAGGACTACAGCACTCAGTCAACAGTGAATTATCTGCACAGCGGGCGGGTGGAATTCACTTCACTCGCCTGACTATACCAGTGTGGCATTGGTGTTGTGCAGCCACGACCAGGCATGTCACACCAGTGTTGCTGTGCATGATGTTTGGCACGATGACCAAGCAGTGAAGCAGTGAAGCAGTGGTGTAGCACCAACAGGAAGACTAACACTGTGAAGAGGGATAGGCATTTCACGTTACTACTACTAGTAATACTACAAATGTTGCTAGTTATACAGTAGTTATACAGTATACACCAGGGAGGTATTTTACGACTCCCTGGTATACACCTTAGCTCAGTGGTTAGAGCATCGCTGGCCTCAAGAGAAGGTCCCTGGTTCGAGTCCTGGTGGGGACAGTCACTTTTTTTCTTCAAACATTTCCCCTTTTCCGTTGCCTCAACTAGTGAATGAGTTATACCGTATAAATTAGACATGATTGTTACTTGTGGTTGGAGTGCTTTATGATGCTGTTCACGCACAGTTATTAGTTTCAGTCTCTGTTATACCGTCAGTTTTGTCCTACCACTACCAGCACTGCTACTGGTACATGTAAGTACAAGAAAGTAGAGAACAAGACGAGAGTCCAAGCGAGAAGTGAAGCTATCCTCCATCGAGCCTTCCTTCCGGGGAGCCTAGGCACAGGCTAGCGTTATTGCCTACTGGCTACTGAGAATGTACACTTGAGCAGGGAGTAGTACAATGCCTGTTGGAAGTTTTGGTATTGTACTACTCCCTTCGCTTGACCCACAGTACGGTTCAGCACGCAATGGAATCATCCATGCAGCCATTGTAGGGGTCACGTTTATAAATCTCACTAAATCGGCTAATTAACCGTTACCCCTCGTGTCACTTTGACGACAGCACCTGTATTGTTGGCGTCAATGAAACAAATTGGACTTCTATATTGGCTGTCTGAGGAAGAGTACAATGTACTTGTTGTACATGTAAGTACATAACAAGTTACATGCATGTAAAATTAATACTAGTAAATACCACAACGGGTAGGTGATGTACATGTACACGACTGTACAAGTTCTGCCGGCAATAATCACTCCTAACAAAGCCATGAGGAAATTCAACTTCATCATGCGGTAGTGGGTATTTTAGTGTGGGACGTACCGACGTATTACCAGTGTGACAGTCGTTCATTATCAAAGGGTTGTCGGAATTGTGCCGATACTTTTCGTGCCAAATACGAGAGAGATTCGAGGGGTAACAACCATGCTGTCATCACCATGGACTATACTATTATGATGCAGAGCTGTTACACACATGTACAGCTGTACATGTATAGGCAGAAGTGCCAGGATACACGGCACCCAAGGCCCTGTCCATCACATCTCAAGAAAGGATCCACTGGAATAACTATAGTTTCCTGTAAAACCAAGCAACCATCGGACAACTGATAACAAGCAACACTAACTGTTGAAGCAGGGAGTACCCCCTATTTTTGAAGTACTGGTATACCTACCATCTACACCCTGTACCCTGTCTATAGATAACACCAAAAAGAGTACAGAACTCCATAACTGAGCAAGTCCTGGAGTATACATGTATGATTGTACTCTTGGTTACACTAACTGTCTTGCTCTTGCAGACGGAACGCTAGGAAAGGTTGATTACTGGGACATTCATTTAACAATGTACATGACATGTAATTGTAAGGTCCCTGTTTACTCGCCCTACTCCACACGACTCTTCACGGCACCTATCGGTGATACGTGTTGAGTATACGTTCTACAAGTGCACACAATGAAAACTAGATTTGCATGTCCCCAGAACACCTTGTCGTCACTCGGCCCATTGTTCAAAAAGTAACTTTGTCACCATCTGGAGCGGACGGGTGCAACTGGCTATTGAACTTACTGCAATCGGCGTTTGGAGAGTTGTGAACACACTACATGTACTTCGAAGCATAATAGTCGATTGAATAATACTACAATGTAGTACATTGTAGTCGATTGTTCACTTTACTGGTTTCCATGTGTTACGAGTACAATGGAACGGGGTTTCAAACTTTCAATACAATAGAGTGGCACATGTACTCAAAAAGAATTCTGCGACTCTAATCTCGAGCGATGTCTTGTCTTGTAAACCCTATAGTGGCCGTACAATGTACTGGCGTTAGCACGTTGTATTTGTACTTCATGGGCTCATGTGTGGAGGCTGCAGGGGCTGATAATATCAAAGACTTCCAAAGTACATGTACTGATGTAGGTGACTGAGGTTGACCAGTACTGTACCAGTATATGCATATTATTATGTACATGATTGTTCTCGCATCATATCAACTTTGTCTTCAATGTGAGTTAGAGCTCTGTACTAGTAAGTCCTGACCACTCTGGGTCATGTTCTATTCTATTTTATAAAAAATATAATCACGCTCACAAGCAGAGACAAAAATTGCATAATGAGAGCATAGTGATGGTGAGGCAGGCGCGTTGCCCTCGACCGCCGTGGGGTCTGGGTATCCTGGGAACATGTGCTTTATAACTAACTTCATTGCGCTGACTTCGCAGTTTTGCCCGAACATCTGGTCGCATCAGGCCTTTCGGCTGGGCACATCACGAAAGTGACGGCGTCATGTTAAATGTGGCGGTCGAGTGCGACAGTGACGGACAGCTGCAGACAGTCGACAGCCAGTTGCTGCCAGCGTCCCATGACTGCTATTTGCCGTCTTATCGAGATTCTGAGTGCTACCTTCCCGCATTGCAGAACCCAGTATTTCAATATCAGAGGAATGCTAAAACTCCCGGGATAGGTCGCAGGATGCCTGCATGTCCAATGTACATCATATAAGCACTGAAACAGTGAAAGCATTTGAGAATACGAATGACAGGGGCATCACAAGCGCAAATGCCCTATGCAGTCAGGACGGAATGTCAATGCGAGCAAATTAAGTCTTCTGTCTTCTGCGCAGGCAAGATGTCAGCACATCCGCTGCTCGTCCAGCCTAAAGGACATCTACAAGGCAGAGAGGACCTGAGACTTAACCGATCGTCTCTCCCAGCATGGCGCTTCGCATCTCCCCATGCAAGCTCAGCTGTCTCCGCAACCTTCAGTGTATTCTGTATGAACCGCTGAACGTCGTTATAATGTTGATCATAGCTATCGCATACAGAATGACGAGCATCGTCAGAATTGATGGCACCGGCATCCGCAGTCTATATGGCCACTGCAAATAGGTCGCGCAGAGTTGTACCTCATTCACGTCCAGCAGAAACCTCGCTGGGCAGTAGAGAATGCTCGGTGTCGATGCACCAGTGCACACACCCCACGATGCGGATGGAATGAATCTCAACTCGCCCTGGCCTTGCCAAGGCTATTAGTATTACTAGGCTAGGGACAGCTCTCGCTCTCTCATCATCGGGACACCACTCCCCATGCTCCAAGCACACATCGATCTCTCACTGCATACCTCATAGCTCCTCGACCACCTCTGCAGTACAGTCTACCGTGGAGTGGAGATGTGTAAGCTACACTGTCATTGTTTGAAGGTTCAGATCTACTGTCACTGTGTCACTGGTACTGATACCAGACTAGATGGTTGAGGCCTGGGTCATTCATACACCCCTCCTCCCTGGCCTGGGTCCCCTTCCCGTATGCACTTCCAAACCAGGCTCTCGCTGAACACCCTTATCTCAGCGACAACGCACTGTACAACCACTGGCAGCACGGTCTCAGCAGATCACCAGCAAGGCTGGTGGCATAAAACGGTGCGATAAAGTGTTGGCGATGGGAATTTGCCACCATGTTACACTAGCACCTAGCCTACACGTCCCTAGCCCTGGCGCATGGCCTTGCTGACCTCAAGTAGTACTGTCGCTCTCAGCGCAAGCACTTTATAGGGGCTCAATCAGTCTCGGAAAATTTCATTTCCTATATGCATGCAGGCACTGGAGCTTAGTAAGAACAGCTCAGGTGAAGCGCAGCCTGTGAACGGTGTCGTGGCCGCACTGTGGTATTGAACCAGTAGGCAGTACTAGTATCAACATCCATCACCATAAAAACCGTTGAAGGTGTCGTTCATCGTTGGGAATGAGTTGTCACATTTATTAGTATTAGCATTGAGTTGTGCTGGTGGCCGTGGGGTGGTGTGCAAGTGCCACTATCTGTGCAGAGTGTGCGCGTCTGACAATCACGCCGCAGACTGCTAACGCCTGCAGGCGAAATCGTCCTTCGGAGCAGCATCCACAAGCCAAACGGCTGGGATCATCAGAAGGTGAGTTGGTCCCGTGGGGCAGCCAGGTGAAGTTCATTATTTATATTCTGAAGTAGCCCCTTCTCTCGGGCAATCTCCAGTTGATTTCTAGGTGTTGGCTGACTCCAATTCTACGCCTTATTAATCAGGACCGTCAACTGTCGACCTGTCCAGAACATCGAATAGTTTCCTCTGGGACGTGTCACGGAGCTCGAAAGGTTTTAGCTAGCGCCACGGTTATGAGGACTCGGCTCGGCAGGGAAACGTACTTGATTCATTTCTCTTGCTTATAACGCTGGTGAAGAGGGGAGCAAATTGCAATATAACCCGACCGTGGCTACTCTCGCAGGACAAAAGTTAGTTTGGAGTCTTACTCTTAGTCGTGTCATCGTGCCCCCTATCAGGATATCCCCGTGTACTGCCCTTCTGCCACGTTTGGACAACGGAAGGCGCCACGGGCCGCCCATACACGCAGCACTGGCTGTGGGCTACCAGCACATACAGACAGGCGGTTACCCACAACACTGCCGCGGGCTGCTAGTACTAGTAGTAAGCGCCATCGACCCAACAGTAGGTACGAGGCGACATTACCACCGTGTGCGCATGAGGCCAACGCTTGTATTTGGTGACCCTCCCAGTCAGTTGACCACCAACCACCACACTGCTTTTCTCTGAACGCCTGCGTGTAGAGTGTTTCAAGTCTAGGCTCTGACGAAATCTTATAACTACTTACAATAAGAGAGACGGGGTGGTTATTCTGGCAAGGTGTTTGTTGGTGTTGGTGCAGCCTTGCCTATCAGAACGTGGACATCTGCAGAGGAACAAGGACAGCACCTCGGACACATTGTTGCCGAGCACCATTGGTAGAACGTGTCGTCGCTGTAGGGTTGTGAGAAAGTTCTCTTCAAGACCAACGCCATGGATCGGCTGTGTGTCATTTACTTTGCTTTCTTGAGCTGGATGATGAGCGGGACAGAGAGGTGAGCGGAATGTATAATTATGATCATGGCATGTTAAATGGTGCATCCCTGGACGGGTGCATTAGAACACACACGCACACACGCGCGCGCACACGCATGCACACACACGCACACGTACGCACACACATACATCAAGAGCGTGAAGCCTGTGTGTATCAACATTGAGATCCGCGCGTAGAAATAGTAAGAAAGGGAACAACTGTCTGTGCTGAAACTGTGTTGCACACGACCGCATCGTGCAGAACAGGTACAGTAATGCACTTTACTAGGTAATTAGTAACTAACTTACTGGGTGACCTTGCCTAAAGCTCACTACAATAGGCCCATGTACAATGTACATGTACTGTGATCCGCGCTTATTATGTTCTACATAATTCCTTGCAGCGCACGAAATTCCACGACTTCTGTGCGCTGAATCACCAGAACCCGTGATCGGCACTGTACAAAGACGCAGGAGAGGAAGTCAATGCAGATTACATCGAAAAGACCACATGCGTGTCATTGCCCCAGTTCCTTATTACGACCGAAGGAGGCAATTGTGAACTGGATCACGACTTCCCCAAACATCTTTTCTGGGCCGAGCAGGTGCGGGACAGAGTGGAAACTCGTCAGTGAACATCCAGCCCACCACCAAAACACTGCGTGAATGATCTATTTTCAGGAGTAGTTTACTGGGGGACATTGTGTACATGTGTGGCGTTCGGCTGACATTCATGGCTGACAGTCATGTCGAAATATCTCACACCAGCAGATGAAACATTGATCGAATCGTGGAGGTCCTGGCTCCAGGCAAATTGGATTGGTAGCGCGAGCATGCGACTCCAGTTGGACTAATAGGGATGAAAGCAAGATGAATGGTGGTATAGCCACCCGCAAAGATACATTGTCCTCTCCTCAGTCAATTCCACGAACTCCCTGTGGATGCTACCGGTATTGCTACTTGTAGTATAATGGAAAACGTTAGAAACGTACTACGTAGCGTTGGTCGTAGCGCATAGCTGCCTCCATGCGTGTAGAATTGAGACCTGTACCAGGCAGTGTCAGTACTCGCTCGTATGTACTGATGGGAAACCAGCGATTGTGTGTTTGAGCTAGCATGTGCTAGAATGATTACATCCAGATGTCTACACATCTACCGGTACATAATCATTGACACACAATACATACACATAATGATGTATTAGTAGAACACTCTAGATCTTCTCAAGTGAGATGGAGTCCGAGTGGCTGAATCGGTGAGAGAGAAATGCGTTCCAACTTTTAAGTTTTAAGGCGAAAGGAAGCTGCGATGTCGCCGGAATGCACGTGTTTCCTGAAGGCACACACCCGCCTACAGCGCTGCTGTCTGCTACGAAGCCCACCAGTACAACTCGCAGAATGTTGTAGCAGGAAGGGGAGAGGGGAAACAAGTTTATGCCCTCGAGGAGAAGTCTCCTCGTGACACAGTCAGGATTTGGAAATACAATGTATGTGTGGAGGGGTCGATCGCTGGTCGGAATCAAAATAAACCTGCATGATCCATGCATGACCCCGTGTACTTATTCAGCGTGCCAGTCAAGCTTAGAGTTCGCCATGTTGTGCTCATCCAGGATTTAGAGCCCTCTTGATTTTTTCAAGTCCTCACTCTCCACTCTCTTCAGTGCTTGCTCACACCAGATTTGATTGACACGTGTGCATGTATGGGCGAGGAGTACTTGCGGAGGGAATGCTGGAAGGAGAAGCCTAAAAAAATGTTTGCCAACACTCCATAGTGGTGAGAGCTGAAGCAGTGCCACAACACGTGTGGTCACGTTGTATGTGGAAGAAATCCCTCTCAACAATTCTTCGTGATTGTAGCGTTACGTGAAACCCATTATCTTCTCTCCCTGCTACCAGTGTAATGCACAATGTCATGTACTGTACATACTCCTGAAACCGGTATGCTTGCATGTGTCATCGGCTGGAGCAGAGGGTGACGGAATCACCGCCCCTTGTTTGGATCTTGGCTCGGAGAAGTGAGCAGTTGAACAAATTCACTGTGTCTGCTGATTCTAAGAGAGGACTATTGGGTAATTTGCATCGACAGTACACCTACATTGACACAACTAATTGCTTTATTATACCGATCGGTTACTGGTAATCGGGCGCCACTGAATCATAAATCAGAAATATTTGCTGCCAGGGACAGAGAAACATGCGACACAAGTGATAATTGATGCGAAACCGATAACTTAGCAGGGCAGTTAGAAGGTGGGGCTTCTCCTGGATCCCTAGTTTTTACAGTAAAAATGCACTGGTCCAGTCTGCTATCGAGCCGTTTTGCAGAGGTATGTAGATCTACACAGCTGAGCACCCGAGCCAGCCCCAAGATGGCGTTAGAAACACGATACCCAGTGTCACGAACATGATGATCAACCTCCGGTCTGGGTCCGTAATCCATCCATCTTTTGGTTGGGATTTCACTTGCAGGCCAAAGTGGGAGGTAGATTCTGCCGATAGTCACACGATGCGAGCTATCAGACACCAAGTGGAGCCTCTTTAGAAACCTAGAATCTTGAATATTCTATACCCCGGCATAGTCAAGTATGTGTAGCTGTAAACGCTGTTGAGAGTTTGCACGCCGCGCGGGCTACACCAAGAAAAACTTAGATTTAGTTAGAAGGCAGCAACGTAGTTTTTCGGTTCATGGTGCCATTGGTGGCCTTTATACCCCCTCCCCTCCCTCCCCCCCCCCCCCCCCTAATTATTCTCAGAGGTTTTCGGTTGCTGGATCGAGTCACACAGTCAGTCTGGCACATGTCTTCGTGGTCTGGTTGCTTAGTTATTGTGTGATGGGAGAGGCCATACAGCTCAGTCTCCCAATACAAATCCTATGACTATGAGTAGGACTACAATGCAGGGAGTCGAAGGCATTCATTTTGATGACTCCCTCACTCACGGCCTGACTACATGTAACCGTTACAATGACTATGTAGACTATTATAATAATTATAAGCATGGCCCAGATATGGCCTGTTCGCCACGGAACTACAGTGCCTTGTGCTTGGTATCCAAAAGCGGACGCGAGCACTCCAGAGCGCGCCACGGCGCTTTGTCTTCGCTGGAATGTAGGAAATGCCGTAGCAACGAGAGAACAACGCCAAGAAAGACACTGCTCTGAACAAGCACCGGCGCACGGGGGACTCGGAAACAAGTCGACAATACTTCCTAATCTTGTCACAAACAATAAATTCAATAAATAGCGACAAATGATAGGAAGAGCCCAGTCACTTCATTCCTGGCCTTGAGTTTTGTTGTGATGAGCTCCTACTACTCAAGCCGAGCCTTGTTGATAATCAGAGAAAGAGCTTTTTCTGAAGTAAATCTACTACGCGTGGGTGTTGCTAATCCTGACGGTGGCAACACTGGTGTCCACAGTGCAGGGCTCTGCCGCATCTCCAGCATAATTATTGTAATTTGCATTGACCTATTGCCTGTTGCCAGTGTTGGACCAGTTGGTGAACGCCATGCACATCTGGAATCGCAATGGTGTGTTGTGAAACATCCATGAAAGTAGAAGGCAAAGGCTTACGCCTACAACCGTAGATCTACGCCGAAACGAATCTCTTGAGCAATCGCGCCTTGTGCCACAATCCCGAAACCAGTGCTTGAGAAGTAACGTCGGAAATACTGCTGTATGCTACCCGCATGCTTCACGTCACACTCACAGTGGCACAAGAACGGTTGACACTGACAGGGACATGATGTCGACAGCTCTCACGCCTAAGCAGAAGAGCCTAAGCTAAGAGGGATTTCAATCTCACAGTTCATTGTACAGCGTCCTGCAACGATGCAAAACCGTAAAAGAGTGTTGGCCGTCACAATGGCGATGCATGGTCGTAGTGACTAACGATTACAAAATGGCGAACAAGGTACAGGAAATAGTCAGTCCCAGGCTTATGTAGAGCCAAATCATGTCATAGTCACACAGCGCCCGTGAGAAGTGGCCACAAGATGGAAAGAAGACGGAGAACGGGTCCATTTCAGCGTCCACGAGGTGTGAGCAAGTCGTGGTCGACGAAGGGTGTGAGCGCTGCAGCGATAATTGAATTTGTCACACACGAGAGAACGCCTGTAGCGCCTCAGGACACACCAAAGTCATTGTAGTCCGTAGTACACCACTCCAGCACTGTGGCCATAGGCATAGGGTTCACAAACATGGTGCACCCGGTCGAGGTGATGGTGCTACATCTGCCGATTGCCTGAAACCGCACTACACTACTCGTGCAGTCCCTATAATTATTATGGCTACATGATCCTAGTGAGCTCGGGTCCTGTCATGGCACTGGGTTAGGACTTTAGGATGGTCACAGCGACATTCAGGTTCTCCTATGGCGTATCAAAAGTAAATTAATTAGTTCGCCGGGGCTGTGAAGCCACCGTGCTAGCCATGGACGGGAAATAGCATTGGCAGCGAGTCGAGAGGTGATGCACAAGGACTTAGGTATACGGTGGATCTACATGTACATGCATATCACGCGCGGGGAGTAGTAGATGGTAGGCTTGTAGTTGTACCGTACCAAGAGTACGTTACCCGAGTGGGTTATAATTCTCTTGCTTGTACTTGAAGATAGTCCCTCGCCTTGTGTGATCAAATGACCAGGGCCGAAGAGATTCAGAGGAAGTGCTTGAGCAGCGCGATTGGTAATCATCTCAACTCCAAACCTAGAGTTCTGGACCCACTGCTATTGTAAACAAGGAGGTATCCGCACTGCATGGCAGCTCACGGTACGGTGCCTTGATCAAGTAACTCTCATTCTTCCCCAGCAACAAGACCCTGAGTATGTATGCTGCTTACTATAAGAGTCATACTCACACCAGTCTGTAGTCTAAGTCATGCTCTACGAGACAGAGAGACTGAGAAGTGAGAGGTTGTGGCGTGACCCAGCGGACGACGTCGCTGCATGTATCACATTCCGGGTGCTGACAACTTCCATCTGGCCTACCATCTGGTCAGGTCAAGAGGTCGGTGCCATGCAGCCAATCCTCGACCCTGTCAGTGGAGTGTGCATGCTCAAGTACTGCTCCAATCTCTCAGTGACTGATGGCCTAGACCAGGGACTGGCAGAGAACACATACCACGGCTCCCTGGCCTGGACCCATTGGATTCAGCCGGGCTCTGAATCCTGAAAGGGTCCAAGACACTGTACATCCGGCACATGCAACACATCGCGTGAAAACATTGGAAACCATGTCTGACTCTCCCTGCCAGTACAACACCTGGCCCTGTGCCTGGTGGATTTGTCTGACAGGAATCTCAGTAGGTCTACAGTACACTACAGATCACCATGATCACTGCTTTAATGCGTGGACAGGTCATACCAAGTGTTTTTATAATTAGTTCCCAGTTTATTTACACTTCGTCACATGTATGCAGAGATGGAGAGCATTCGAAACTGTAGAAACCGCCCAGACTGTAGTGTAGTGAATTGGCAGCATACCGGTATGCAATATGTCGACACTGTCATTGTCCAGTCACCTGGCACTGGTAGGAATACCATCACATAGCCCATAGCCTATACTAGGCTATAGGCATAGGGAGTACACAACATTCCTGTGTGCTGAGGACACTAGTGTCCATTCTGATTGAATTACTGTTCCCCCGCCTAAAGTATAATGCACCAATATGATTGACGCTCTCACAAGTTGGTGCCACTGGCTATAGTTATCACAAGGGGCTGAACCAGATACTAAAACAAAACCAAGTCTGGAGGATTGAGAGCAACTCTGGTCCTCATTGTTCCCACCAATTAATTAGGACACCAGTCGCCCTGATCATGTTCAGGCAGGTCACTGCATGCTGAGATAGGCACATGCCCGGGCTGAGCCATGTGCACAACAAGATCACAACACTCACACAATACATGTCCTATTGTGGATAGCTATAGTTATTGTACCCGGCATAGCACACACACACACACCACTATGATCATCCATCACTTCCTGCACACATTGCAAAGTGCGAAAAGCTTGTACATGTCTAACATGCGACTTGGCATTCATCACTGAACACACATAATTATTATCCTCTCCTGGGAAGGTACTACAATTGCAGAACCTGGGGGTATTGTTCAAGTACTGTTGATGTTAGGCATGCTGGCCCGGACAATCATTTGGGCAATACCAGTTGTGCAAGAGTGGGTGCACCTCACGGCTCCACAGCACACATGCGTTTTGCTCAGGCAATAACCATAACCAATTACATGTACATGCATGTAGGTGCAACAGATCATGTGTGCGTCCATGTGAGCTGTGTTTGTATAGGACGACTAACCAAGATTTGTTTGTTTCTCTTAATTTGCTAAATCCTATATAGGATTTTGGTCATATTTTTCAACTCAAAATGGGTGTGGCATGAGAATAGCAAAACGTATGTGACCAATTCTTCCTTGCTAGGTCTTAGTAGATATCGAGAGTTGAATAAGATAATTTGTTCAAACACTACCATCTCAGGCTCATCTCCTTGCCCAATATTACTAAGGCCTGTGCCCTATTTTTCGAATCCTATATATAGGAATGAAAAATATCAATTGTGCACTCATAACCATGTATAAACAATTAAAATGAAACAATTCCAGAACGTTTTCGTGTGACCATCATCATTTGGTGTCCAGTCCGGATTGTCGTAAGTTGTTTGACGATTCCTGGTTTAGTGTTATTTGTCGCGCGCGTTTCTTTAAGCAGTTGCAGGTGTTGGAAGCTGTATATATTCGCACACGTGACCCTGTTCTATGCAAGCAAAAAGAAAATGTTGTAGCACTCACACTTTTTAAATAATACGCACTCACCAGTTTTTGTTCACACGCACTCACAGCTGCCACATTCATCTACTGCTACCATTCTCAGATACACTGCAAAGGTTCACACTACACGCGTTATGCATAACCGCTAGCTGTGCTGCATTCTCACGCTTCTTTTCATATTACTCTAGCTATATAACTGGTTGTTTTAGTGATTCTTACTATGTGACGATGTTCCACTGATGATGGTCACACGAAAACGTTCTGGAATTGTTTCATTTTAATTGTTTATACATGGTTATGAGTGCACAATTGATATTTTTCATTGCTATTTTACGACTGTTGTCTCCTCGTCGGTTATTTAAATACCTATATATAGGATTTGAGATTTTATTGGACCTTGTTTTATCCTTAAAACTGGTAGTTTCATGACGGCATGTGCGATATGTCGTCATGAAACCACCCCGTGCCACACCTGCAATGTTCTTCTGCACATTCACTGCTTCAGTCCTTTCCATGACAGCAGCTGAACAATTATGCTCAAATTTCCAATTATTGCTGAAAATGGGTATTCATCAGAAATATTATCGCCCTATGAATCTAAAATGTAAACATTCATGCCTCAAACATATTAACAACTTCCATGAAAACCATTATGTCGTTGTTATTGGTCGTGATGACCAATAACAACGGCATAAAAGGCACACATTTTCAAATCCTATATATAGGATTTTCGGCCAGCAAATTAAGAGATAGGACGACTTACCAAGATTTGTTTGCGTGTGTGTACTTACCAAGATCATACGCGTACTTCAAATAATGAAGAATTCGATCTCACAGTGCTGTACCGTCCATGATATGTTAAGTGTGTGTGCGTGCGTGCGTGCGTGTGTGTGTGTGTGTGTGCGTGTGTGTGTGTATGCGTGCATGCGCGCGCAATTGTTCTTATCTGTCATGTGCAGTCGGTTACTACCCAGTGCCATAGACAGAATCATGGGATCACTGGAGACGAAGGCGATAACGCAGACCAGGTTCTGCGATAAACTGAACGGTGAGTCGGTGTGGAAGTCATGTACTAGTCAGCATTCATAGGAACTCGGAGAGCAGATGCAAAGCATGCACTGAAGTATGCTATTAAGCCCCGTGCACACAATGGGTCATATCACCAAGAGTACACAGCTGTACTGTTGGTATGATTTCTAAATTAGAAGGCATCATTCTTCCATGACCATGACCATGCGGTGTACAGCAAATCACCCAATGTTCAAAAACATAGGCTGAAACCTCCAATTCGTAAACAGTCGACTTTCCTAGAATTCCACAAACCAGCTCTGATCTGTGCAATGCTGTGTAGCGTTTTACGGGCAGACAAATTCTGGAAAGGCCGCAGCTGCTTGTGGAATTTACGACAGTTCAATAGGCACGGAAACCTGTTGATCTGCAGCAGCTGACAACTGTGGTGTATCGATGGCTAGTGTGAAATGGGAACTTGATAGCATAGCCTCACACTTGACATTCCATCATAGTCTGCACAAGTACCCATGGCAGGCATTGCATTGCATTGAGCTCAGCCATCAGTCACACAGAGCAGGTTGAGATGTCAACCGTGACTGGATTAACAAATGAGTCAGTTCAGATCTCGGATTACAGTCCGAAAATTCCGATCCTCTTGCATCACTCTCAATTTAAAACAGCAGACACTAAACAGCATGAACAAGTGGCTGTGTTAATTAAACCAACACAGAGCCAGTACTTGAAAACCACTGAAACCGAACACCAGAGAGCGTGTTTGGCTAATTAGTTGGATGGGTATCAAACAACCATCGAAAGTTGTCTAGGTAAAAATGGCCAAAATGCAGTTTCGCAGAGTGGATCGTGTCAGTGACACTTAACCCTGGTTGCAAGAACATCAGATACGTGTTGTACAAGATGCAGAACACCCGGAATAATGCCTAAGAAGTCAACGCAGCTCAGCTGGATATTTCACAGCTAGTCTCACACGTGCACACTTGTACAGCCCAAGGTTGCATATACCAATGCCTTTGTCGAAGACTTTCTTTTTCATATCCATGATAGATCCATGCGAATATGCTGCATACACAGAACAGGTGACTCGACCGATGTCTAACACTGACACTGATACATGCGACCAATTTGCATGACTCCTTGGTGAGCAGCAACAAAGTAGTATACGTGTAGCTACTTCCGTGTCCGCACTCACGCACGGACACTTGCACAACTTACACCGCAGACACTACTCTAAAGATGTGTTGTCACAGAGATAATATCTGTGTCACCTCCTGTAAAGAGCACTTAGGGTTCCCTGTAAGGGGCTATCCGGCTTTATCGATAATTTTCACGAAACGAAAAAGTTTAGTTAGGACCCTCCACCCCCCCCCCCCCCCCTGAACAAAAAATAGATTGACTTGATTGCAAGAATGCCTTGATGTCTCACATATCAATATTTTTCAAAACGAAACTCCCCTTGACCCACCCACCCGGTGCACCCATAGACGAAACTTTTTTTCTCTTCGTGTAAAAGATCGATAATTAAGGATGGCCCCTAACAAGACGGCAACGCTTTTCCTATCAAACATTTTTTTCAATAACGCATTCTACTGACTATTACTCTGCTATGTCCTCAGTCATGCCTGCCCGCCGCCGCTTGTTTGCTTGCTGCCTACGCCTATGTTGTTATCTCCATGTAGGCCTAACACAGCTGCAGAAGGAGTGGTGTCACAAGTACACGCCGTTCGTCCCCGCCATCGGCATGGGAGCCAACCTGGCGCTGAAGGAGTGCCGCAAGGCGTTCCAGTACGAGCGCTGGAACTGCACGATGGACGACTCCAGCTTCCAGCACGTCTCCTCATTCCGTAAGAAATCAATACATATGTGACTACATGTGCATGTTTAGAGGGCTTTACGTCGGCCATACACGACGGCCGCAATGACCAGCCAGACAACAATCGCTACACACGTACTCTGCATTACCCAATAATCAGTCAGACAGGGCCATTCTTCCTGCAACTCCAGGATCCATGGCAAGGCATAAATCCAGCATCGTCACTGTCTCGCGATAGCAGTGCTCAGCTGAACACACTTGCTCACAGGGATCACACGCACACACACACACACAGCATCGACAGTCAACCTTGCAAATACCGACCCTCGATGGTGCGTGAGAAAAGCGTCATGTTGTTCGCAAGGCGAGCAGTATGCAGTAGTCACATGGCCACTACATTGTAGGTCTGAAGATGTTGTCGTTATTTGCGAGTTAGTGTTACCAGTATACCCAAGGTCGTTATACACGAGGTTAACTATACGCAATTTCTAAAGCATTGGATTTTCACTTCACAAGAAATGACACATTGAGTGCTCAGTTACACGGATTCTGACTCCTTCCGACACCTGATCAACGATTCTGATTCCTTCCGACACCTGATCAATGACATCCAATGACCAATGCAGCGCTCCATAACAGTACCAGCCCGATGTTGCCAAAAGATAGACCGCACTGTTTGCGATACTACTCCAAAACACAATTTCTGGAGAGCTAAATGAAGAGGGTGTCCAGCTCAGAAATAGCTTACCAACTTGCTAGAGGCCCGGGGGGGGGGGGGGGGATGAATGACAGGATTTATACCAGGGCAATGAATCCCTGATGAGCGGCTGGCACCTTTGAGTTTCTGATGCTATCTACACACCAGCACTGCGGAAGTAAAGTATTTGAGAGGGCACTGCCCGAGGGCAAGAAGTGCCAAAAGCCACACGCTGACCAGTAACTGCATTCCAGTAGCAATATTACTTGGTGTTAGGTATCTACCGGCTCACTGGGGAATGCTCAGTATTGCCTTGTGGCTGTTGTGCAATATGTGTACAATGTACAATGCACATGCTACGTATGTACATTGTCCATGTCCCTGTCAGCACTGTGCCGTTCATCGATGCCTATACTATACTACCATGAGAAAACAATGCCGTACAGCAAATCTAGAAACACGCACGGGCGGTCTGACAGCGAGGCCGTGTGAGCAATGACTGAAAACCAGTGAATAGATATTTTACTACTCCCTGATACCAATCTTATTGTTATTATCACTGACAACTTGCTGAAGAACAACTCCACGTAACCAAATTCTTTCAGCTAATAGAAGTTTTCAAACTGCTGTTGCCGAATGGACAGAAAGATGCCCACCAAAACCCTGCTGCTGACGTTTAGCACGGTGCACACATACACACTACAAAATACATTGGATGTTGTCATCATCGCCGCTTCTGTCTGTGTGTTTCCTTCAACGCAGAGAGCAAAGAGACGGCGTTCGTGGACGCCATCGTCTCGGCTGGCGTGATGATGGCGATATCGCGGACATGCAGTCGCGGTAAGCTGACCAAGTACTGCGGCTGCGACAAATCAGTGTTGGACGAGGAAACTACCGAGGAAGAGTTCGAGTGGGGTGGCTGCGGGGACAACTTTCTAAAGGTGAGTCGAGCAGCACGATAAGAAGACAGTGGAGTGAGATGGACATGTCAGAAAGTATTCACATTGCAACCTCCATGTTTAGAAGAAGTCCTCAGTATTCAGTATTCCGAAGGAACCATCTTGCTGTTGTGGGAAGTGTGTGTGTGTGTGTGTGTGTGTGTGTGGTTGGCAACCGAGCTCTGCGATGGCGGTGGTGTAGTCAATTTACGCAGAAACTGTACATTTCTATACTTAAATAGCGCTTTGCCAGGCAGAAAAACCCATGAATTCAATTCCCAATAGTATTGGGAGGAAATGTGCCTCACGTCAGTGAGCTGTGCTGAACAGGCCTACCCTGGGCACATTAGTTGCTCTATGAAGATACCACATATACGATAATGGATGATACACGAGGCTGGGAATGGTCAAGAGCCAGAATCAGCAGCTCACTCTAAACTACATGTACTTTCGAAGTAGTCCAATAGATACCAATAGAGCAGACTTGGTTTGGCAATGCGTCTGGATACCACCATAACATCACAGACAGGACCACCACCAATGCCTCTGCTGGAAATTCCTCGTTACACCGGGAGGTCTTCTTATCAACTGTGCACACACTGAGCGTGCAGCGATTAGCCAACAGGGTTTAGTGCGCTTTTATCTCCTCAAGTTTATTCATAGCAAGTTTTCACTGCATCCGGTATCTAAACTGACAAGTGCCGCTTGGTTTTTGTTGACTGCTCTTGGTGTGCAACCCAGGGTCAGCAATACAGCCAACAGTTCCTGGATCTTGCCGCCAAGGACCTGCCAGCTCCTAGCGAGACAACCACGGAAACTGTCGCTGGCACGCCTCAGTCCAGCGTAGTGGAGGAATACCACAAGTGGAACAACCGGCGAGGCCGATTGGTAAGAGATAATGGGAGGAATGCGACTGCGTGTACGTGTATCACATGCACCGTGGGAACTATGGACTGACGTGGAAAGCCATGATGAAAAAACATGAACCATAACGAAATCAGCTCCTAAAGGTGTCGAGGTAACTAATAGCAAGTCACCACGGCATAGAAAATAATGAGAAACATCCCTGCCGGGTACACAGTGCACAACCCAACTGGCAAGCCTAGCAACAGCGGCATTCCTCGCACTAGTGGGAGCTTTGGCATGAGCAAGCAGTGTCCCATTTTATCAAATACAATAGCGGATCAGTAGTGGTTCTTCAGAGCAAAAAGAAAATGATCAGCGCGATCATTTCGAACTGTCTGCCACAAGGTCCGAAAAGAACAGATAAAAACCCACCAGTTTAAATTGCCATTGCGTTCATGCAGTGTTGCTTTCTCTCCGCTTTACTTCGTCACTGCTTTCCGTGTACAGGCCGTGGCTGACAACCTGGCAACGGTTTGCAAGTGCCACGGGCTCTGTGGCGACTGCACGGTCAAGATCTGCTGGAAGGAAGTGCGATCGGTAAGACAGCGAATTGTTCTCGTACACAACTCTGGCTTACTACAATGTAGTACACTGCAGTACACTGTAGTACAATGTAGTACACTGTAGTACAATGTAGTACACTGTACTGAGTACTACCAATAAGAGATCTCTGCAGTACATACAAGTACACAATGGCAAAGAGCTACTGAGAAAAGCAGAGCACCTCCTAGTCTCATACTAGATACAGGCCTCAGACAACAACTGAGCACACTCATAGTATGCTCACTTGCAAACGTTTCAATACACAACCGTTAGCACCCAGCATCTACCATTAAAAAATGTACTACTGAATATTCACTACGCCATGCTTCAATGCCACCCTGGTTAACGACAGAGAGTCTCCAGATCCGTGCTCTGCAGCCCAACCAAAGCAGAAACACTAAACTCACAAGTGCAACCCTTCGCTTCTTTGCATCCCCCTGTTCACAGGTGCAAATCGGCGAAGTGCTCAAGGAATCGTACCGCGAGGCCAAGCAAGTGCGCCTAGCTCATCCACTGTCACCCGCCCTGGTGCCCGCCAACGTAGAAAACAACGCGATTGCTGCCAGTGCTCCGAACCCCATCCTCACCACCAACGCTCTCGTCTACGTCAAGGAATCGCCAGACTTCTGCGTAGCAAACGGGACCATCGGCGTGGCTGGCACTGCCCGACGACGCTGCAAGGAGAACTCCAAGGCCAGCGACGGTTGCGAGCTGCTGTGCTGCGGAAACGGCTACTTTGAAACGCGAGCAGTGAAGCGAGAGCAGTGCGAGTGCAAGTTCGTCTGGTGCTGCGAGGTCAAGTGCCAGTGGTGCCACAAGGTCTATCGCTACTTCCACTGCAAAATGCCGCGTCCCCAGGTGGCGTAGAGTCGCTCGCGGCGCACTCCAGACCCAGCCATCGTGACCCTCTCACGCGTACTTGACACTTGACTGTCTCATCGCCTGCTTTCTCACGCCAATACTTGATCTGGACAGAACGTGTGGTGGTAGTAGTAGTAGTATGTGTGTATACGTTACAGCCATGGTCTGTATCAGGGAGTAGTAAAATACCGGTGTTTTACTACTCCCTGGCCTGTATCATACAATCCCAACAGAGCTAGATAACAGCCTTGAAACACATCCATTTTCAGGACAACTATTACAATATATGTACTGCTCATGTAAGTCGAGCACAGTCCTGTTTACGCTACTAGTACCCATTTCAGTCAAGATTAGATCTCATATGTGCACGTAACTTATGCCCTGGCCTGATACTGCACAAAACACCTGGCTTCAGATCAGAAAGTAGTAAAATGCCGGTACTTTACTACTTACTGCCTCAGATATTAGTGTTTTTTTTCTTCACAAGATTGCTCGTGTATTCTACATTTCTATTTCAGCTGCGCTATGCCTCGCCCCCCCCCGATTTCGGAGATTTGATATAAGGTGCGCGCCTGCTGTCGAGCTGGCAACACAGGTGGCAGCCAGATGCTCCCTACACCAGTTGATTTCCCTGCAACAACATATTCCTTAACCCGCTTAGAGGCCACCAAGGCTTACTGTACATGTAGTTAGAATGGAGATTTGAGGATGGACGTTCATTTAACTATATTATTCACAAAACATAGTGACATGTTCTCTGTATTGTCTACTGCCTTGCTTTCAACAATTCAGCGATGACAACTGCCGACTTGACATACCGAGCTACAGCCTTATTTTTTCGATGTCTGTGGCGAGTATCGAGATATCCACCCTCCATGGGGGAGGGGGGGGGGGGGAGCGTGGTGTTCGATTTTCCGCAGTTCGCAGATGTAGCTGCATGATATAATGAAGGCAGCGTGCCGTGCATCTGATCCATAGAATAGAGATCACAGCTGCATCGTCTTGGTTACGGACTCTTAACGCTGATAGTGGTCGTGCCAGGAATGCCTATGGCAAGCAGGGTGTGTGTGTGTGGGGGGGGGGGGGGGCAGACTTTAAATCAACACGCCAACAACAGAAAATCTAAACTATTAACCCTAGGCCTCTCCCTCCTGCTGGAAGTGACTGTCCTGGAGTGCTATCACTGGTCGGCCGGCAGTCGGGGAATAACTCACTTGACTTTCTTGTCCATGTTGGGCTGTACCGCACTCCTATCTGCCTAAACAGAGCAGATCTGAGCGGTCTGAATACACACACTGTAGTGCTACCCATGCACTTTGGAGCACATACTAGTACTAGTATATACAGAAGCCTTGCTTGGTAGTTTAACATGTTTTTTTGATTTTGACAGCATGTTACAAGGCGAGGACGCGTAGTGCTCCTGACTACAACCATAGCCCGGTTGGCAGAGTCCCGGTCTTGCGACCATTTGAACCGTATTGGGAAAACCCAGGTTCGGACCCTCGTTACTCTAGGGGTTGGTAGGATTTAGAAAATTTCGTTTTTTTTGTGTTGTAGAAGTCGTCGTGTTGCCGCCGCAGTATTGTTCACGTTGTCGCGTTGCTGCCGCTGCAGGGATCACGTCTGGAAAGGATTTTGTGATGTTATTTTCTTGTCTTCCTCTGTAATTTGTAATTTATCTTTCTTTTTTCTTTTTTTGTCTTTTTCCAACTTCTGCCCATGGCGTCCTTCTCTCAGCTCGTCAGCTGTAACAGTCATAGTCATCACCATGACGACTGTTGTGAGAAGGTGCTCGCTGCCGACGAGGTTGGTGATGTTCCGACGAGGCCATGGGTAGGCCTTCACCACGTCGGAACACCCCGTCTGCACGTTGGTGTTGTGGTCTGGGTGTTGATGGACGTTGATGTTGTTGTAGTAGTAGTTGTTGTTGTTGTTGTTGATTGTTGTTGTTCTCCTTAGTGTTGTTCTCGTTGTTGCTGTTGGTCTTGGTAATACTAATAGTCTTGTTCACGGACCTCATGATTCCACATATAAAACAGAGTCATATTTCTTTAATCAGCTTCAGGGGTACTTTTTTGAGCGATTTGTGGAATGTTGCAATTGGTAACATGGGAACATAAGTTCAGTGCAGCGCCCAGGATGTTGTTCAGGTGAGGTACGCTGGTTTTTTTGGGATCAAATGTCGGAGTCAGCATAGCTTACCTCGGCTGTTGCGCTGGACCGTCTTGGGTTCACTCGTAGTTAATTAATTGTGCGTCCCCCCCCCCCCCCCCCCCCAGGGGGCTGGGCTCTCCGGTATTAATCCTTTGTTGAACGAGAAATTGTTTACTAATTAATTATTGATGAAGGGGTTAGTGTTGTATCACGTTCCTCGTGGCGTGGGCTGAGTCTTCTGTCAGGTGGACGGAGCTATAAAACACATAGACAGGATGGCGGTTATTGGTGTATCGAGGGAGAAAAGAAGTCTCATTGGTGGGTCTCTGGGAGAGACACGTGTTGACTTTTGGACTTAGGCCACCCTTTCTTTTTTCGTTGTTTAACGTCCGCGCCCGCGTACCTTTTTGCCTCCGACCGGAAAAAAAAACAAGAAAGTAGTACACTCATACCTCGGTTATCCGGACTTCGAAGTTACGGGCACTTCGGTCTACCGGGCACTATTTGGGCGAGTTTCAGGGGAAATATTACTACTCTTTTGTCACTTTTCGTAGAAATATTGACGTCATATGCCATATCGATGGCCTTTTCCCCATCAAGATGTATATGATTCGGAGTTACGGGCACCCTCGAAGTTACGGGCAGTGTCCGGTCCCGAAGCGCCCGGATAAGAGAGGTATGAGTGTAGTACCAATAATATGCGAAGTTGTAAATACATGATTGTGTAGTTTCACAGTGTGCCGATCATGACCTTCAACTTATAATCTTGCCTCCCGGGCATGCCTTTGTCTTGTGTTCTTTTTCTTTTTTTGTTGGCTTTTAAATATCGTACGGTGTGTGTCCTAGTAAAAATCCAGATGTAATGAATTCATGACATGCTAACTCCATGCTATGTACCTGTTTTGTTGGATTCATCAGGCATGTGCTCCAATGTACCATCAAAGAGTGTTGTTCTATGCCTGCAAGTGCCGTTAGACCCAGAAATATTGTATATATAACATGCTTTACTGGTCAAAATGTTTGATTGGGGTTTCCAGTTTTTGGAATGGGCTTTTGTTTTTTTCCCGCCCTCCCGCGTACCTTTTCGCGAAAAAAAGGACGTTAAACAATGAATTAACAAAGGGTGGCCTTACCGTGAGAACTCTCCAGGTTGTCCGAGGAGCTGGTAAGATGGTCGCCGACGTGGAAGGTGAACGTAGGCTGAGGAAGATATGTGGAGTGTAGTCGGACACGACGTGATGGCTTCTTGTTGTCTTCGCGAGTTGTGTTCTGGAGACGTCGATCTTGCATGGTGTCGTAGGTCGCGCGCGGGGATCGCGCATAGATCTGCGTGCGGTGATGTTGGCGCGCGTGGTGCTCCGGAGCGTTTGTCGTCCTCGTCGTTCCGACAATTGCGAGTCGTAATTGCGGACTTGCTTCTTTCGTGATTGTGCGTTGCATCTCCGCCGTTGGGGTCAGTATTTGACCGGGGCGTTGTCCATACTGCTTGTTTTGGATATGGTGCACGGTGAGGTGAGTGCGCGGTCTCCGTTGATCTGGGTTTGTGGTGCCCAGGTCCGAGTACGAGTCCATTGAATCTACCGTGTGTGTTGGATTAATTATTTTTGTGGAGAGCGAAAATGATCTCCGATCCGAGGAAAACGGCTCGATCGGGCCGGTGGTCGAGTGTGCCTGTTGTGTATAGCGAGAGCTGCAGAGTGCAGTAAATATTGGCGCCCCTATTGTAACTGTCTAGTCTCTAGGTGAATGGATGCTGTAATCTGCTCGCGCGTGGTACTGCATGCTGAGCGCTGTGCTGTTCGGAACAGGAGTCGAAGAGAAGGTAGATGGATCCAGAGCTGGTAAGTTGGTAACTGTTACTTGTGAGTGATTGCAGTCGCCTGTAGTGCTGATACTGATACTGATACATGGAGGAATCTTCGGTTGTTGGTTCAATTTTATCAGTAGTGTCCTTATGGAGGGTGAATGAGGGTGGTGAGCTGTCCTTGTGGTAGATTCACCCCTATTGTCTGTGGCCATGGGAAGCACTGCGTGAAGGAAACTGCAAGTGAAAATTGTTGCGGATTCTATTCAGACTTGGTTTTCAGTCTATGGAAGAGGTATCTTATTTTATTTTTTAGGGAGGTTGAAATTTCCAGTCGACATAGTGACGCAATTGAATAGTTGTGATTAGGTGGTATGATTGCGTAAGAAGGAGGAAGGAAATTGGATCAATTAGGAAAAATCGATAAAAAAAGAGGGCAAAAAGGGGGAGGGGGGAGGTTTTGAGGGATTGCTGTATTCTCGTAATGTAAGAAATTGTATGTAATTATGTGGAAAATATGGACGGGTAATTGCCATTGATTTATGTTATTATTATGACGGATGACCTAGACTAACGGCAATGTTACCTAATCATGTAATTATATGTAAGTGTGTGTAACGTGTACTAGAACTAGGGAATATTATAAATATGTAATTATATTATGTAGGTTATATGTACTTAGAAGTTGCGACTTCGGCGGTAATAGTCATGAAGTTGATTGTTCCAACTAGGAACACACGCTTCTTGCCGAACTTGACACTTGACTGACTCACGACTGCCATCCGGAGCACACGAGGAGCACGTCGCACCTTCCACTCGGCAAACCCGCAAGAAAGCACCACTCCCTGCTCAATACACGGTGTTTCGGGGAATTCACCCCTCATCAGTTGAGCTTGAGTAGGCTGAGGAAGACTGTGCCTGAAAAGCACCACTTATATACTGCTCTCCAGGCCAAACCATCACCAGGGAAACAAAGCGTCTCTGTAAGTTTGTATCCCTGGTGATGGTTTGGCCTGGAGAGCAGTATATAAGTGGTGCTTTTCAGGCACAATCTTCCTCAGCCTACTCAAGCTCAACTGATGAGGGGTGAATTCCCCCAAACACCGTGTATTGAGCAGGGAGTGGTGCTTTCTTGCGGGTTTGCCGAGTGGAAGGTGCGACGTGCTTCTCGTGTGCTCCGGATGGCAGTCGTGAGTCAGTCAAGTGTCAAGTTCGGCAAGAAGCGTGTGTTCCTAGTTGGAACAATCAACTTCAGGTTATATGTAGTTGTATGTATTTATATGTAAATTATGTGTGAATTATAATTATATTTTGTGACATATGGGGAATAGGGTTTTGTGCGGTTGGTGAGTGTATCGTTGCGAGTGTGTGTTGGTCAGGGGGCATGCCAGGAAAGGAGTGTTCTCCCTAAGTGTCACAGCCATTCGTATGTGTACGTTACTCCAGCATCAAGGTTCATACTTGGCTGTCTTCCTTTGATCAGGAATGCCTCTATGTACTTCCGTAATGCAAGTTGGGGTATTCGGCGAAGGATGACGGGATTTGCCCAATGAATTGCATGTCCAGTATCCAGGACGTGTTTGGCCACACCATTGTCTGCTTTCCTGTTGTGGACGTCTCTTTGGTGCTCCTCCAGTCGTTTTTTAACCGCCTTCCTGTTTCTCCCACGTACTCAGCTCCACAGGTGGCGCAGTTCCGGGCATAGACTACACCGTATTGGTCCTTGATGGATGGAGGCGGGGTTTTTCCTTGTGAGCAGGTTCTTCAGGGTGGTCGATCGCCGGTAAACCATACGGAACGGTGCGTTCTTCGTTTTTCTTTTGATTTTCTCCGATAGCCCACGGACATAGGGTAGTGAGAGCGGTCGGTATGTATAACTGGAAGCCGGTCTTGGTTGATGTTGTTGTTGTTGTTGTTGCTGTTGTTGGTGTTGTTGTTGTTGTTGTTGTTGCTGCTGCGGTTTCAAATCTTTATTCTCACGATAGCCAGTGGCCAATAAGAGATAATAGTGTAAGAAAGGAGAAAGAGTGAGGAAGAATTGGGTGGGCAGGGCCTAGGGGTTAATGACTACTTAAGTGTACAGGCAGGGGTGGTCGCCACACGAGCATACAGTTGCGTACTTAAGTGTACGGGCAGCGGTTGTTGTTGTTGTTGTTGTTGTTGTTGTCGGTCTTGCTGTTGCTGGTGTTGACGGTGTCGGCGATGAACCTGTTGTATTACCCCTTCGATGGTCTCCAGCGGGTAGCCGTTGGAAAGGAATACAGTGCGGAGAATTTCTCGCTCTTTGGCTTTCAACAGGTTAGTGCTGCAATGCGATTCAATCCTCTGTGCCAGGCACGATAATGTAGCACATTTCGTGGCATTAGGATGGTGGGAGGCGAAATTGATGTATTTTCCCGTGTGGGTTGGCTTCCTGTACACTTGTGTTGACAGATTGGTCTCAGATCTTTGGACCCAGACGTCCAGGAAAGCAATTCCTCCATTTTTTTCTTCTTCTACCGTGAATTGGATATGTGGTGATATGGCGTTGGCGGCTGCGAGTACGTGGGGTAGTTCTCCCTTCTTGATGATGGTGAAGGTGTCGTCCACGTACCGCAGCCAGGCCTTGATCCTTTCACCACATATTGCCAGAAGTTGTCCTTCCAGCCACTCCATGAAAATGTCAGCTAACACGGGAGAGAGTGGTGAACCCATGGCCGCACCTCTTGTTTGTCGGTAAAAGGTCCGGTCGTATTGGAGGTATGCGTTGTTGACACAAAATTCCACCAGTTTTACGATGCTGGTCACCGAGAGCAAGGTGTCCCTGTCTGCAGGGTTCTGGGTGTCGAGTTTCTCTTTTAGGATCTCCAGAGTCTTGGCCATCGGGACGTTGGTAAAAAGGCTTTTAACATCAAAACTAGCCATCTCGTGGTCGTCGATATGAAGGTCTGGTATCGTCGTGATGAAATGCCTGGAATTTGCGATGTACGTGTCTGTCTGTCCAGTGAGGGTTCGGAGGATCTTGGCCAGGTGGCGAGCTAGGCGGTGCGTCGGTGAGCCTATCGCAGCCACTATTGACCGTAGTGGGATTCCTTCTTTGTGAATTTTTGGCAATCCATAAAGATGTGGTGCGGAGCAGGTCCACGGATTGAGGGAAAGCTTTTTGTTAAGGTCTCGTCCCGTGTGAGTGGTTGAAGAAGTGAGTTTAGTTTCCGTATTGTCCGGTCTGTGGGGTCTGTCGTCAAGGTGGTGTAGGTGGTAGTGTCGTTGAGATGTTGTTGTATTTTTTGGTCATAATCGTCGGTGTCTACGAGAACCACTGCATTTCCCTTGTCCGCTGGCAAGATCTTGATGTTTGTCACCTTGCGTAAACTGGAGAGCGCCCGAGCGTGAACCTTGGAGAGGTTGGAGCCTGGGGGAGGAGAGGAGTCCAAAGTTTGGTGCACTATCCTGCACGTGGCTAGGGCGAGACCTCGGCGGTCGTCAGGCAGTGTGTTGGCCCACATTTCTGTGCGCGTGATGATCTCTTCTATTGGGAGGGATCTTGGAGGTATAGCGAAGTCCAAACCCAGTTCCAATAGACTCGTTTGTTCTGTTGTAAGCACATGCGAGGAGAGGTTGATCACGCTTGGTTTGGCCGGAGCGGTAGTCTGTGGTGTGTGCGGTTTCAGTTTCTTGAGCTCCTTGTTGTATAACTTGCTAGCGCGCAACAACGAGAACAACACTAAGGAGAACAACAACAACAAGAACAGCAACAACAACAACAACAACAACAACAACAACAACAACAACAACAACAACAACAACAACAACAACAACAACAACAACAACAACAACAACAACAACAACAACAACAACAACAATCAACAACAACAACAACAATCAACAACAACAACAACAATCAACAACAACAACAACAACAACAACAACTACTACAACAACATCATCGTCCATCAACACCCAGACCACAACACCAACGTGCAGACGGGGTGTTCCGACGTGGTGAAGGCCTACCCATGGCCTCGTCGGAACATCACCAACCTCGTCGGCAGCGAGCACCTTCTCACAACAGTCGTCATGGTGATGACTATGACTGTTACAGCTGACGAGCTGAGAGAAGGACGCCATGGGCAGAAGTTGGAAAAAGACAAAAAAAGAAAAGAACAAAAGAAAAATAGCAATGAAAAATATCAATTGTGCACTCATAACCATGTATAAACAATTAAAATGAAACAATTCCAGAACGTTTTCGTGTGACCATCATCAGTGGAACACTTCTTTTCATATTACTCTAGCTATATTACTGGTTGTTTTAGTGATTCTTACTATGTGACGATGTTCCACTGATGATGGTCACACGAAAACGTTCTGGAATTGTTTCATTTTAATTGTTTATACATGGTTATGAGTGCACAATTGATATTTTTCATTGCTATTTTACGACTGTTGTCTCCTCGTCGGTTATTTACAAAAGAAAAAAGAAAGATAAATTACAAATTACAGAGGAAGACAAGAAAATAACATCACAAAAATCCTTTCCGGACGTGATCCCTGCAGCAGCAGCAACGCGACAACGTGAACAATACTGCGGCGGCAACACGACGACTTCTACAACACAAAAAACGAAATTTTCTAAATCCTACCAACCCCTAGAGTAACGAGGGTCCGAACCTGGGTTTTCCCAATACAGTTCAAACGGTCGCAAGACCGGGACTCTGCCAACCGGGCTATGGTTGAAGTCAGGAGCACTACGCGTCCTCGCCTTGTAACATGCTGTCAAAATCGAAAAACATGTTATACTAGTACTAGTAAGTAACCTGGCAGCGCAATGGTCCGGTCTGCAATGCCCATGCCACCCCAAAGCTATATCACTCACTATCCACTCGCTAAACTACGCTTGAACCTACCGCATTACAATCGGCATTTCCAGATTAGTATCAATATGGCAAAATCTCTTTGCCTTTCCTTGATTTTTGGATCTTTTCACAGCATGTAACAATATAAATGTTGAACTCAAGCCAGCAGAGCACAAAGAGTAGAGAATGGAAATAGGGGGGGGGGGGGGGGGGAGAAGAACTGGGATGACCTTGGTGAAATCAGTGCAATCGCTTTTGGTGCATGTGCAAATGACGCCACGGCCATCTTCTATCGATGATGGACTGCCCAAGACTAAGCTCAAGATGTGGAGGGTCGATAAGCAGAACATATACTTCTGCAGGGTTGAGTAAAAGTCATAAAAAGGTACAAACAGCACCGTGTGTTTACCTCTGTGCAATGCTTGCGGTACCGTAAGACCAGCTTGATACGGTGGCAGCAGAAATCAAAGGCAGCAGAAGAGAAGGGGACGTACGCGGGGCTACGTTTCGACGGGCCGGCTGCAGCGGAATCCCAGGTTACTTGCTGAGCTGTCTGGTGTGTTCTGGCTTCGTGCAGCATTGCGATATCGATAGCAGTAGGACTGTAGGAAACCGGAATAACATAATTACACACACACACACACACACACACACACACAAGCACAACCACACACAAGCACAACCACACACACACACACATACACACACACACACACACAAACATACACACACACACACACACACACACACAAACACAATTACACACACGGTTACACACCAAATGAGATAGTAGAAAGAGGAACTGAACTCTAAGCAAGCAGAAACCATCAATCAAGTGTATTATTCTTCGTACCCATGAGCAGCCTTTCACCGTGAGTACCTACGGGCACCAATGATGCACATAAAATAATTGCAAATAGAGAGAGAGAGAGAGAGAGAGAGAGAGAGAGAGAGAGAGAGAGAGAGAGAGAGAGAGCTGAAGAGAACAGGGGGGGGGGGGGGGGGGGGGGGGGTGCACAATAGCTACATTGTGCTGTCCAGCAGAGACTAAGTGTGTACACACCGCCCGGTTATGCACCCAGCTGAACAATTGTTTCTACCTCTCGTCTTGATTCACCATTCCACAAACGTAACGTCGTTACTGTACTATAAGAAGACTGTGTTATTACTCTTTCATTCTCGTGCCAAACAGCTAACTCAACTAAAACAAGTCCAATAACCTGCACCACCGAAGCAGGAACCTAAAACTCACACACCAAGGAAAACAAGCCCCTCTACGCCTATGGATCACGGACTACAATCCCGATCCTAGCGTAGCGGCAAATGATACATACTAGTACTTGGTCCGCCCAGTTAAAATTGGCGCTTATCTTCACACTTGTCTCCGGAAAGAAATACTAATATTTGAAGCAACCCACGATCACAAAGCAATATTTTTTACATGTCAGTAAGCAACTCAGTCGAAAATTCAAGCAAGTTACACATCCTCCTCGCCACTATCGTCGCTGGAGGAAGAGCTTAAAACGTACGATCCGGACAGCTGCTGCACGGGTCATTTCATAGCTTGTTCCACTTCTCCTCGTCTCGAATCACGCTCAAAGGCAGTGCGTGCCTGTGACCTTCCCAACAGAAGCTGAGTGAGACTGCCCGCATGTTGACTGTAAGTGTTATCCCCGTTCGTCGCAATAATGCGACTTTGTTTGAGACAAAAAGGCAACGCCATATCAGTGTCCTTTTTTCAAATCGCCTCTTGCGCTTGTCGTACTTGCTGATCAGCACCCGTACCCACGCGAGCCGCTGGTGCTTGTACTTGCAGCGCAGTGATAGCTTCCGCTTGATGTAGCACCTGTGCGTACTGCACCTACAACGCCGTGCACCAGGCTTTTCGGCTAGTTTCCTGAAAGTCCTTTGCACGAGTGTTTCTCTCAGGACTTGGTGTTTCCTTTGATTAGCTCCTTTGCCCTGTCCTCTGTGAGCTTCAAAGTGTGTCCGCCGGATTGGTCTCACTTACTGGAGACATCGACATGAGCTGCAGTTTCTTCGTCAGCGATTTGCTGGTGATAGCCCTTCACTAGGCGCTGTACTGTGCAAGCACTGAAATTCAAGCTCGCGAAGCGCTTTTTCAGCTTTTCTAAACCTCCCCGGGGTAAACAATCCTTGCCATCAGACAGCTGGAAGTAGACAGAAACTGTATTCTCCATCGCTCTGAAATGCGAACATCCTGACCTATTTTACGGACTCGAGCGGAGGTTGCAGTGTTTTCTTGCGCTGACGGAAGTGTTCGTCGGCGGCAGCTCCGTCAAAAAGACTCAAACGAACCGATCGCAACTTCTGTGATGGTTTGTGCTGCCATGTCGTCGGATGCAATGGTCAATGGTCATGTTCGGAGGGTGAATCGGTGGTTCCATGCCGTGTGGCACAGGCGGAACACCAAAAAATCAAGTGAGAAGATAAGCGCCAATTTTAGCTGGGCGGACCAAGTACAAGTAGATGACAAAAGCGGTGCCGGTGTTAGGTGACAGCTGCATACGAATGCATGAAAGGGGTCAGACAGTTCACGTATCATGTGTACCGGCAGTTGTAACTGGAGCCGACTGAAAGTCAATACATCAATAGCAGTGTTAGTCATACATAAAACCCAGACTACAGAAAGTGTAGCAGTGAATACAAAGTATGTTGCATACGACGGGTGTTGCATGTCGCCAACGTCGCCTACGGGGGCAACAACAATCTATGAACACTGCAGTAAGTACTGACCTTATGACACATGTAGGATCCACCCTTCTTGACTTTATCCTTACCCGATGCTGGTCCAGTCTGTCAGCCATAGCAAGTACAAGAGCAAAGGAACACATTCACGGCCGGATCCACATCACCAGAATGGCATTGCAGAAGGGAAATGTTCACACTAACAGCTAGATTGGCTACAGTGCATGTACATACCGGGTTTGTTTTGCGCTCCGCTGTGTGCCGCGTCGTCCACCAGTCGTGCGTCCACTCCCACACGTTGCCTATCATGTTGTACAAGCCAAACTTGTTAGGAGGATAACTCTTCACCTGTACAGCAACAGCAGCGGTGGAAACACGAAATCAGCATCAAGAAATCCTCACATATGGAGAGTTTCCTGGCTAGTCCTTCCCACGTGCAAACTCAACCCTATCCGCACTCACATGGCGATGCTACACCTCATGCAAAAAGGGGTCCAGGGCCAGCCCCGTGACACAGTGCCACCTGTGATGTGACAGCATGTCAGCACTTGGCCATTCCTATTCCTCTCTTGGAATGAGTCAGGACACTTGCACATCACTCCCCGCTAAGCATGGTTAATAGTCTCGTGTATTTTGCACATGACAGGACAGGAGAGGTGTATACAATGAAGTTCTAAAACCTAAGAACGCAGAAGGCTCCACTGCCAGAAACTGTTCTATGCCTCAAGACAATGCCTATTCACAATGCAAGGAAAGAGAAAATCCGTTGAAACTCCAAATATCACGTTGATACGATCATCAGCCCGGTACGGTATGATCATCAAAACATGCACCTCGGGCTTGCATTGGTTTTTTTCTTTCTCTGTGCTGTGTGCAGTGAAGTTCATTCGTTCATGAAAGACCTCCCGGTATACTTTGATGTGTCTACTGCATACCGAAGATCACACTGTGAAGTTGAGACATGAGCTCCATGGATTCCAAGATCTCACCAGCATACAATGTACACCAGCATCGCCTGGTCTATTATCATTATGATAACATTTTAGACCCTACTGTATGAGAGAGAGAGAGAGAGAGAGAGAGAGAGAGAGAGAGAGAGAGAGAGAGAGAGAGAGAGAGAGAGAGAGAGAGAGAGAGAGAGGGAGGGAGGGAGGGAGGGAGGGAGGGAGGGAGAGAGAGAGAGAGAGAGAGAGAGAGAGAGAGAGAGAGAGAGAGAGAGAGAGAGAGAGAGAGAGAGAGAGAGAGAGAGAGAGAGAGAGAGAGAGAGAGAGAGAGAGAGAGAGAGAGAGAGAGAGAGAGAGAAAGAGAGAGAGAGAAAGAAAGAGAGAGAGAGAGAGGGAGGGAGAGAGAGAGAGAGAGAGAGAGAGAGAGAGAGAGAGAGAGAGAGAGAGAGAGAGAGAGAGAGAGAGAGAGAGAGAGAGAGAGAGAGAGAGAGAGAGAGAGAGAGAGAGAGGAGCTACAGTAGCTGCAGGAATAACACTGTGTGAAACCTACGTACACAAGCAAGCAAGCACACCCCATGTACACACACACACACACGTACACACACGCAAACACATACACACGCACACGCACACACACACGCACGCACACACACACACACACACACACACACATACACACACACACACACACACACACACACACACACAGTGATACATTGCTCACAGGTGATGTCGCTGTGTAGCCATCCTCAGCCGTGTTATTAGTCGGGAACACACCCTGTAAAACAGAGCACAGAGTGCATGCGTGGCATCAAGTAAAAGGACGGCAAACAATTCACTTTCAGATGATACTCGTCCAATTTTTTGAAGTTTTAAGCTCAAGACTGACTGCGTATGTGCAATAGCTGACTTTAAAATGCATGCTCAAAAGTTGAACAATGTCACTATATCTCCCATATTCTAGGTCTGAAACTGTGAGATGAAGGATGAACCAATATAACATCTGGAGAACTTTGAAGCAATAAAATATGGGCTCTTACTCTTTCACTTTTCCAAGTTTTTTTTCTCGGGGGGGGGGGGGGGAGCGCCCCCGGATCCCCACCTCTTCATATCCGCACCAATGTTGAATACCTTCCGATGCACTTGTGGGGTGCTGGTACTCAGCCAACCATCAAGGTCTCGATAGACTGCTCCACCGACCATCAAGGTCTCGATAGACTACTCCACCACCGACCATCAAGGTCTCGATAGACTACTCCACCGACCATCAAGGTCTCGGCAGACAGGGCGCACCAAACGCCCCATGGTAAGCTTTGCCAAACTTACCTGCCAGATATTCGTGCGATGCTCATCTTTCGGCAAGAGCTTGTTACCCCATGGGAACAGCCTGCACAGGATATGGACAAACATCCCAAGCAACAACCATGGCATTGAACAAAAATGATTAAACTTAAATCTGATGGAAGTGCGTTGGATGAAGACTCCACCAAACGATGCATGCAAGCAGGCAATTCCACCTGTCACAAATAACTATGAAGTACAGCACAATACTGGGCGCTACGATGGCAGAGAAGCCTGATCAACGCCAAGAGGCTTGACTTGCAAAAAACATGAAATTCAGAAACGCAATGCGCCTCACTCTCCCTCCCCGAACCCCCTCCCCCGTAGCACAGTCATCACCTCAGGTGGCAACTGGCCAATCACACTACTGCTTCCAACCCTCCACCACCGCTACACTCTGGCAAAGAAACTACAACAAGAACAGTCATTGGACTAGGAACTTTTAAAATGCAACTTCCTCTTTCAAGGAGAAGAAGAGGCAGTGAACATGAACAAGACATCAGAGGAAGACGGCTTCAAAATATAACAGCAAGACACATCCACACTTGAACACTGTAGCAACAAGCTGCACACAGCATGTGCCGCAAAAATCAAACTGGGTGCCGTATTTTCCAGAGTATAAGCTGCACTAGAGTGTAAGCAGCACTAGAGTATAAGCAGCACCCAGAATTTTTGTCACGAAATACAGACATCTACCCTGTATTTCGTGGCTCATTTGACCATTGTAGCATAAGCAGTGTCCACTTTTTTGGTGAATTACAACAGTTTAAAGTGCGGTTTATACTCCGGAGAATACAGTACCCAGCCAGTGTTTTGCCAGCATACCTGTTAGCCAGTCCACCGCGGGATGCGTACTCCCACTGCGCCTCCGTGGGCAGCAGGCGTCCGGCCCACTTGCAGTACGCCAGGGCGTCGTTCCACGAGATGTGCACGACGGGATGGTCCATTCTGTAGTGCACCAGACAAAAAGGAAGGATGCACGTACGCGTTCCGTTGAACTTTTGAAGATTCGACATGAGCAAATTAACATTCGAGCACACACCATTGTTCACGCAATGTGTACATGTGGTTGATTGCGGGTCGGTGAACATGAAGCGCAGAACATTGTACATGTACTGAGATTGGCTGTGAATAGAATTGAGTTGTGAATGTACTTCGAGATTATTGTGCTGGCCAGTTCAGTGAGCATGAGCAGGCTGTACTGGCCAGTTCAGTGTCCGCGTGATCTGTGTCTATGGTGCAAAGCGCACTTCTGCGTGACAATCCGTGCATTTCGAGTCGACATGCATGTGTTGTGGGTGGTACGCGTTTGGAAAATAAGAATGTACTAGGGCTGAAACGATTATACCGAATAATCGAGTACTCGTTTGATAACTCTAACGATCGAGCAATCGTTTAGATTACCGATTACGATTATTTTGCGTTTTTAAAATTTTTAATTTCTTATACGTGCAGTGCATGCATGCAGCGCAGAGTATATAGTACACAGGACTACACACTGCATGCATGCGCTGCGTCGCAGCCGCTCAGGACGCAGTGCATGCAGCATTAGTGGACAATCATGCCATATAGCATTTTTGTGCAAAAATTTGTACATATTTCCACTTTTGGCCATTCCACGTACATATTCCAGGTGCGGCCTCTTAAAGATTATAATCGAATAATCGATCGTTATGATAAAGAGTAATCGATTGGGCTAAATGGATGATCATTTCAGCCCTAGAATGTACGGATAATTAGAAGATTTTCCCTGGCATTTTGTGGGGTTCGAAGTGTCAGGATTCCAACTGTACTGCTAAGTACAGTTGCCCAAATAATATAAAAAAAATAATTATGGGAGTGAGGCTCATACACCTGTCAATGACATCCAACCCCAGTGTGCCACCATGAGCCTGGTTAAAGCATAGTCTCCCTCTAACAAATACCACCACTACATGCACGGACTGCCGAAAAACTCACAATCGCGAAATATTGGTGTCTGGCCCGAAGGGATGCCTCCAGTCGGCACCTTTCACTGGCAGCCACCATGGAGCTGCAGCAACCTTGACAGCACAACACAATCAGGACATTTAAAATAAGCCGTCAGTATACAGCACCTTGCATATGCTGTGTTTCCAGTAGTCTGCCCCCAGATATACAGGACAGTTTGGCCATATAATATGAACCTCGAAGGTATGATGCATAGGAGTCAAGAGCTTCACAACATGTACAATGCCACAATAACCTTGAGGGATGGGTGTAAGCTACAATAACCAGTCCTTACTAAAATTCGTCACATATGCAGAGTAAACAGACAGATAATAATTATATTAACTGTCATCATCAACCACAGAAATAACTGTTACACTATTGATGCGCACGTGTAGTGTGGTGCATGTTCACGTGCCCCACAGCTGTGCACACTGTCTGCCTGTCTGGCTGGTTGTCTTGGGGGTAGGCATTACCCGCGAATACAATGAAAGGAACCGTAACATGATGCAGCACTCTGTCTCCTAATACAAACAACTGGGATGAAACCGCGATACTCTAATTTCAGAAATTTTAGATGCTCAATATTTTCGGTATGAGGGCAAAAGGCCAGGTTAGGTGAACAGAAATTTAAGGTACAGAGAAGCAGTTCCCTATTGGATTATGTGTGTTAGTGTTTGTTCGGTGTATTGAAATTTTAGGTATGAAACAGATGCACCGAAAGTACCGAAAATTAAAGTACACCAAAAATTTGGGAAATTACAGTACCTGGAATAACACTTACCGCCGAATCAATGTCTTTCTTGATCTCCTCGCTGATCATGATCTCCAAGACAAACGAATCACCAAACGCCTCTGCCTACAGCAACCACAACATCATTACAGAGGCATGAAGTAAACGGGCAGACAGATGACACGGGGTATGAGACTGCGGACAATAGAAGAGGAATACAAGCACAACGATGATGACACCAGCAGCAGCAACAGCAGTAACAGTAACAGCAACAGCAGCAGCAGCAGCAGCATGCTAGCAACAGGAGCAGCAGCAGCAGCAGCATGCTAACAACAGGAGCAGCAGCAGCAGCAGCAGCAGCAGCAGCAACAGCAACAGCAGCAACAGCAGCAGCAGCAGCAGCAGCAGCAACAGCAGCAACAGTAACAGCAGCAGCAGCAGCAACAGCAGCACCATGCTAGCAACAGGAGCAGCAGCAGCAGCAGCAGCAGCAGCAGCAGCAGCAACAGCAGCAGCAACAGCAGCAGCAACAGCAACAGTAACAGCAATAGCAACAGCAGCAATACTTATAACCCCTCAACCGATATTGCGTACATGGACATTTAGTGGCCACAAAGACACGATTGAACCAAGTGATGACTGAACAATTCAGCAGCTCCCGGCACGGAACTCACGTTTCCTGCCAAATTGACTGACACATGACTGACTCACGAGTAACGACCATCATCGGAAGCACACAAGGAGCGTGTCGAACCTTCCACTCGGAAAACCTACAAGACAGCACTACTCACTTCTCAATACACAGTGTTTCAGGGGATTTAGACATCATCGTCACAAATTCACAATCATCAGCTGAGCTTGGGTAGGCTAATGAAAGTTGTTCTCCAAGAGCACTGAATACGGCTCCGGCAGCAAACTCATCGCAGTGACACTCTGTGTGTTGAGTAGAGAGTGGCGCTTTCTGGCAGGTTGGCCGAGTGGATGGCTTGGTGTGCTCCTGGTGTACTCAAGATGACAGTTGCGAGTCAGTCAAGCGTCAGTCAAGTCGGTGGGAAGCGTGAGCTCCACGTTGGAATCGGCTGACTCCTGCTATCAAGCCTCTTGTACGGGCAAAAGAAACACAATGGATGGAAATGCAATACAAATGCAAGCCCAGAAAACCAGAAAAGGAATAATATGTAACCCCAAAGCAAAAATAATCTGTGATTAACACTATGTATTTGATGTAATACCACTCCAAAACTACAGCAGCACCTAATACAGATTAAAAATACTGACTGACTCCTGACTCCGCTGACTCCTTCAACTATTACCGCTGAACTCGCTCCTTCTTAGTTTCAATGGATAACTTTTATAAGAGAAGTTGCAGAACCCGGTCCAATCCGAATACAACTGATAATGGCGCCGCAACAACTCACCTCCGTTTTATATCCGGTGTCATTGACGAACAGCTCAAACTCTGCGTTGCTGACCTCATACACGTCGAGCCAGAACGGATCGAGCTCTACCTGCCGAGCAGGTGACTCCCCGTCAACAGGAATCTCGGGCTTATCGGTTCCCATCGTGAACACTCCGCCTGCACAGCAACAGTCACAACAAGAACAACATCAATAAGCACTGCGCCTGTGCAACGACAGTCACGACTCATGATGACAACATTATCGACACGGCTGTATTCATGAATGACCATTACCTAGAACGAGAGAGAAGCAGAGAAAGCAGAAAACTATGAGACGAATCCCAGTTCCAGCCAGGGCCTGGATAGTGGAATAGTGGAATTGTCCCAACGGAATAGGTGAAAGAAAAAATGCTTCAATTTGGTAAATCACATGCCATTACCTGAATGATAAGGAACGAAACTGCACATTGACTCATAAGTTTGTATGTTCCTATAACGACCTGGGGAGTTGGATATGGTATACTAGTATCATATGCATATTGCAATACCTAATCAAAATGTACAGATCGGATTATCACTCCCCCCCCCCCTCCCCTCCCCCAAAACGTAAGAAATATTAACTGCATGTACCAGAGTACGCATAGCGCATCTTGACCAGCACAAGCACAACTGCACTGTCAGCGATGCTTCCTAAAACGAGACCAGCCAACGCCCTCCCGCCGCATGAGCAGTTTTGCGAGCACCGACTCTCTCTCTCAAATCAGGTTTGTACAGGCAAGCACACACCAGAAAGCACATCGCACTCAGAGCGCGATATTCCATGGGCGTCGGAACCAGTGCGGCAGGTGCGGCCAAAGCCGCACCAATAATTTCATCTTGTGGCTTTTGATTTGAAGCAATGGAATATGGGCTATTTGGGCCCAATTTTCCTAACATTTTCCCGCGGGAGGACCCCGGACCCCACTCACCTATACATGCGGCCACACCAATGCCGAATACCTTCCGACGCCCCTGTATTCAGTCACACTCTACGTAAGTCGTGAGTGCAAGCAGTAGCTTCCTGGCCACTGATTCATCACTCAGCACTGACAGCAGGATTTACAAACTCCATAGCACGAGAGGTCTCCGGCCGACCTCGTGCATCACACTGGCTACTGGACTCCAAGTTCTCGCACATGCTGATCCGTCTAAGCTTATTATATAGTTATAGCTGTTTTAATCACCCAGATCTCATCAGTGAAGGTTGTGAAGTCCGATTAAATGACATTACCATGTAAGGCAAAATTAATAGTTATTATTTACTGCCCCAATTACTGTCACCACATGCACAACGTCCATAGGGCATACGGCTTTTCTTGTAATAATTATTACGTTTTTAAATAGGGAGGTGTTTTTACCTTCTAATTGAACCATTTGATTGGTCCTTGGGTAGGGCGACTCCAGAAACTTCTCTGAAGACGGAAGTTCTGGATGTTTCTCGTCCTGAGACTTTTTGTAGCGTTCTGAAGTCTCAGCATCTCTGTTCGTTGCGCTGCAGCCACAAGATGAAGATGACGACGCCTCATCTCCACCATTCTGGCTTTTCGCACATGAGCCTGGCGACTCGGTCTCCCCACTCCTCGCGATGGGTGAATTGGTAATGGTGAGGAGAAGCAAAGACATGCAGAACAGTAACCACTTCATCATGCAATGCCGTGAATGAAACAAAACTGCACTTGTGCACATAACTAAGCCATAACAATGCTCCACTATTTTTATCAGGGAGTCGTATTTTACGACTCCCTGATTTTTATCATAATTATTTGATGTCAAAATTTAATAATTTGCAAATCATGGCCCAAATCAAATCCATGAATCTTATCTCGAGAAAATGCTACACATGGATCACGTGGCCGTGGAAAATATCAAAACAGCTGCGCGCAGCAGCCGCAGCTCCTGCTGCGCGTGCAAGCGCAAGCGGTCGCAAAGGCGCCAAAATGGAACACGATTTCGCCAAGGGGTTTCGAGGGTTTTCAAGGTTTTCCCTTTCCTCGGTTCAAACCGTTAAAAATCATCCGAATCAACGCAGTTTGGGATCGATATGCGGCCAGTTTGAACAAAAATCCAAAGACATGACGTCACAAGAAGGCACAAGCATCATCCAAAAACCAGGCAGAAAAACCCGGATATGGAGAGCTGTTGAGAATTTTTGTGGTGCTGTAGTTGAGAAGAAGCTCTGCTAGCTCGTCTTTCCGAACAACAAACTGACTTTGCACTTTGGCGTCTAATTTATGTGTGAGGTTTCCTTCAGTTCAGTACTTCGCGACACTTTCGTGCGTAGCGCTAGTCGTGTTTATATTTTTGTCCATCATGGGTGAGCCGAATCCGAAGCGAGCGAACGGTAAAAGCCTGTCCCTGCGCATATCGTGCGTTCTTCAATTGGGTAGAAAATAAATTGTGACTGTCGGTCGTTTCGTATGTTCTGCCTGCACAATCATAGGTGGACCAGGTCCAATCGATGAAAATGCAAATGTCGTGTACAAATTTTTGGTGGATAGCAACGAAGCTGGACATCTAATCGGTTCGAAAGGTAATAAAACGAGCGTGTGCGTGCGTGCGTGCGAAAACAAACTTTGCAGTTTGATTCAACGTTCTACGACGATATGCGTCGGAGTATTGTTAGCATAGCCGACCACGGAAGTACCTATTACACTATCGGTATTCGAAATCGTGGGTTTGTTCTTTGTCTCATTCTTATTCGCAAGTGATTTCATCCTTGAAAAGGGTTTCTGCCATTAAAATTAAAAAACATTTTCAATTTTTTAAATTCTCAAACTTACATATTACTACATATACATCCCTGACCGTCAGAACCAAGAAACGCTCTGTATGACGAGGTCGTTACTTGCGGATTCTTTCCACATGAAATGTCAGTGCTTGCTGCTCGGGGTATGATACGTGCACTAGATGGTGGTCGCTTTTGTCCCTGCTGTATGCTTCACCAAGTGCACCTGCGAATGGTGCCGTTGTGGACTTTGAAATCCAGCCGAAAGTGTGCACAGAATTTTTGGCCTTTCAGCCATAGATGCGTACCGTATTATCTCTAATATAAGCACAGTCTCCATTATAAGCACACTGTGTAAATTCATTATCTGTACTGGCGAAAAAACCCTGAAATGTGTGTGTCTGACATGAATTTGGCATGGCAACAAGCCTCTGAAATGAGGTTGAAATTATAATGGAACAGTCTCCAATAAAGGAACGTCTCCAATAATAGCACGGGGCGGAGGTACATTGAAAAAAATAAAGGACCGTGCTTATATTGGAGATAATGCGGTATGTGGTACACAGACTAAACACACTCGAATTTGTGTGTACCCAGCCCAAATCTCTCCCCCCCCCCCCCCCCCCCCCCAGACAAGGAATGTTCTGCCGCACATGTACGGTTTGTTTTCATTCATACATACAGTCCGTAACTGTAGCTTTCTAGTATGAATAGGGGGGGATCCGAGCAAGGCCAAGGGCGGCTCATTGGCTGGTAGTCCCAAGAACAACCAGTCATTCCATTCCCACTGGCAAGGGTAGCGAGTCGCCGTTAATCAGATCCTGGAGCAAGACCACCTCCATCAACATAGGCGATTATAGGGCAGCGACCATCACTGCGGCCATTGTAGCATGGGTTGCTCTTGTACCATTCTGGACAATGAAGCAAACAACAAGACGGAAGAAAGAGTTCCAGATCAGCAGCATTTCTTCAAAGTACCTTGAAGAGAAGTTGCTGGTCTGGGTACGTCGCCTCATTGCCACTCGGCGCCGTTCTGAGCAAGAGTAGTGAAATGAGGGGTCAGGGTCCTCGCGTTGGCCTGGGGTATAGCATTCAAATGAGAACACGGAAGGTTTGAAGTCTGTTCACTGTGTCGAATGTCAAACGGCCATAGACGAGGAAAGTCTGGTGTAGAGCCAAACTTTGCTGTTCAAGCCGTAGCTCTCTCTCTCTCTGTCTGTCTGCTGGCCTGTTGACTCACGCTTTCATGCACAGTCCATGCATCTGCATCAGTGGTAGTCTCTTGGCGTGGGTAGTGTCACTGAACGCCGATATGGCTGGGCACTGTTGCTGTTTGTACATGTAACAACAAAAGTACATGAAAGTTTCATGTACTCACGCTGTTACAGACTAACAGTGGCTTTAGATGGCTGGCATGCACGATAACGGGGGATCCACCTATCAACGTTCCTATACCAAAGGTTGCGTATGCTGTCGGCATCATAACAGTATAGTGTATGCGGGTATCAGTTGTGTAGGCTTGTGTCATCGATCTACTGTCCCGGGTCTGGCTTATTTCAATGCAATCCAATGACAGTACCTCAACGTGCCGCAGTCCCATACGGCATTATTATTATTATTATTTTGCTTGTTCGCGTTGGCATCAACCTGCATAAAGCAGGTATATAGCCTTCGCTTAAGCTGCCATAAAAAAAGAAAGCTCATCCTAGGCGAGAGGGCTAGAGGAAAAGATAACGGTAACGAGATACAGAATACAAAGAAATACAATGAGTTAAACATACGTATACAGTTCAAAACAAAACAGAGCAGAGCCGAAGTTACTAATCGGAGTGACGAATGCGTTGGTTCCGATTGATCCATCAATCGACAAAGGGGTCTAATCCGTTAATATTGCAAAGTAGAAACCGATTGCAGTTGCAGATCTCCAGGCCAGGGCCAGCATATTGCCGATTCTGGATAGGTCTCTGCAGCATTTGATGTGGTAATTATCATCATAATTAGTGATAAAATTGTTAGAGTATCTAGTGTAATTGTATCCGATATTATTGTTAGAGTATCTAGTGTAATTGTATAACTTCAGCCACTACACACAGCACACATTAGTTCCTTCCACTTTCGACGATCCTGGGCGAACTGCCTCAGTGCAACTAGATCCTCGTGTGATGTGAGGGAGTTTGTGGATCTGGAATTTTTCAGGTCAGCATTGGATAATCAGCTTCAATTGCCCAATGAAACAGCGTATGCGGATGACGTAGACTTCATCAGCACCAGCCTACAATATTTGCACGACAATCAACCCATACTATCATCCTCGTTAGCGGAATACAATTTAAAAATGAATGAAGCCAAAACCGTACACCAGTGTTTAACCCTGCTGCCTGCCAGAGCCTGATGTTTACACTCTGTGTTGCTGTTTTTAGGCTCATCCGTCGATGCTATTCAGAATGAGTGTGGCTCAAAGATCCGCATTGCTTCCAACGGCCAGCACTTTCCCGGTACACAGCGTCGTACCCTCATGATCCAGGTATGTGGACTATTTCGAAATACAATATACTGTCTACAGTTAATGACCATGTACTAGCCAGTGTATCTGCTCAGTGGTCACGACTCTCTAGATCGCTCTGGGGCACTGGTAAATTGCCAATATGTACCCGTGCTTTTGCAAGCTGCAAGCATTGACGGTGTGCGATGTGTGTCACAATGCCTTTATCACGTTACACCCTTTCGTTTGCAGGCACATACGCCAATGCATGGGATAGCTGTACACACCTTCTCCTGATAGTATGAGTATTTTACCAACAAGCCGTCTTCCACGCCAGGAACTACTGCCGTTAACACATGCCGTCATGAAGAGTAGTGCACACTGGACTTTACTCAAGTACATTCACGTATGCAGTTTATGTGGACATTTTCAGGACAAACATACGAAAGAGAATAATCATTGTTGCCTGATGATTGTGACCACGTGAAACTCGGAGTTGCAACACGGCTTCCTCTCTCCCTCTCTCTCTCTCTCTCTCTCTCTCTCTCTCTCTCTCTCTCTCTCTCTTGTGTGTGAAAGGCTCTGCCCTATATGGGTATTGAGCACTCTTCGAGCAGTGGAGCACGCTACTTGATTACAAATAATCAGTGTACGCATGGGGCTGTATGCATGAGCAAATAGTTGCTAAGCGTCAGCAACCATCTCTGTGATTACATGTGTGTTTCTGGGTGGATACCCCTCAGGGCGTTTACACGTCAGTGCAGCGGGGCATCGACATTCTGCTGGACCGTGTGTACGACGAAAGACTGCGCAACAGGCAGACAGTGGAGACTGGCCTACTGGGAATGGAAGTCATAGTGCCGAACAGTACAGCAGGTTAGTGGGTCAATTGTGAAACCTTACGCTACCTTCTTCAGATGCCTAGTTGTTATAGATACTCGACCACACTGTATCAATATCAGGTTTGAGATAATCTGAATTGAATAAGGCCAAGCCTCACAGTCGGAAACCCGGATTTTATTGCACTGATTTTACGCTACATATACTTGTGAGCCATTGACAGGAAAGTCGCACTTTCACGATCTCTCATAAGATGGAGAAGTTTCTATATTGTGCGTCTCGGATAGGTATTCCACAAAGAAATGATTTCCTGCGTTTTCTGCCAAGCGTACTATTAGTATTACATGTACACCCCTCTTGACATTTCCACTGTCTGCGTGTTGTGTGGGTGTGTGTGTGTGGTATGGGTGGGTGGGGGTGGGTGGGGTATGTGGGTGGTGGTGGGTGTGTGTGCGTGTGCGTGCGTGCACGCTCGCACATGTGGGTGTTCTCTTGCACTTCTGTAGGTAAAATCATTGGCCGTGGTGGTGAGAACATCGCCAAGGTTCAGGCGGAGTGCAACGTTCAGATTACAGTTCACAAGGTATGGCACTGCCCTTGCTGCGCGTGTCATTACAACACCGGCACGTTTTCACCAGATGCAGACATGTGCAGCTCCGTCAGAAATTCCTTCCACTTGTGACCAGATTGTATACCTGTTCTTTCTCAACGACCCAGCTATAATCAGTTATCACTGAGTGTACACTGCACAGCAGTTCTGACATTTCGTTGTGCTTCTGTTGCTTATTTGTCCTGTGTCTGCTCTGCAGCACGGTACAGGTGAGTATAATCAGGAGCGAAGAGTCACCATGCAGGCCAATAACAGCGTTGATGACCTGCGCAAGGCCATGCATAACCTCCTCGACTGGGTGAGTAAGCGTGTGCGTATGTGTGTGTGTGTGTTTTGGATTTCGGAAACCCCGACACAACACACTTTCTTCAAACAGTTCTATTAAAGTTATAAAATTCATTTTTATCTAACTAGTTTCTGCTCTGTAGAGCTTCATCAGAGATATGAATGTGAATAAAATTAGAACTGTGGTTTTGTACCAGTAACAAAGCAAAAATGAAACTATGCAATGCAGTTGATACAATGTAAACTTTGTACAAGTGCAGCTGAGTACGGCATAATATTGCAAAAAAAGGGGGGGGGTCGATTTTTGCAAGGGGTACTGTGGTGCAGCGATATTGCTTGCGGGTGCGTACAGCAGTGCAGCACTATTGCAGGTGTGTACAGAAGTGCAATAATGTTGCATGTGGAAACAGCAGTACGTTGGTACTATATTCTATAGGTCAGTAATATAGTGTGTTGCACTATGAAGGTCATTATTGCAAGCGGGAAAAAAGAGATTTTTGGTGGGAAATGAAATTTCATTTCCCACCAAAATGTGTGTGTCTTGATCTGTCTCATTCAGATCTTGTCCGCTACCGTTGCCGTAAGAGAAAACCTGTGGGTGCACATCCAGTGCATTTGCAGATGTGCATGCTTGAAGCAGCTTCTCTTGCGACGGGCGTATAGATGATGCTTGGTGTGTGTGTGTGTTGTGGGGGGAGGGGATGTGTGTGTGATGGTACATGGTGTTGGGGAGAAGGGGGGGGGGGGGGGGGGGCTGATGTGTGATGATGAGATTAGCGACATAATTGATGTTTATTGTAGGCGTGAAATTTGGCACTGAGATTCCGAGTTCGAGTAATCTGATTTTGTCCGATCGAATAATCAAGTATTCGAGTATTCTTCGTCTCCTGAAAATTGCACAACAAGAGCCTTAAAAAATCATATGATACAACCCTGATCGAACCGATTGGCTTTCATTTTTCTCAGGTTTATTGGTTTGCGGGTCCATTGGGGCTCTCTCTGCTCGTGTACAAATGTTCACCACACATTCTGCACATCAATATCTGCCAACTGCTGCTCAGAAACTGCAGATTTCTGTGGTAAATAAATGTACGATGTTTGAAAGGGTATTCCGAGTACGATTATTTTTGAAAAACCGAGCAAGTACTCGAATATTCGGTACAATTGTTTCACCCCTAGTTTATCGACCACTAGGTCAGATGTCCATTAGATTGACACTCCTCAGTCTTGATCATCTCATCACCTACTCCGACTTATTTTATGTACTGATAACATCATCATGAGACCACGCCTAGCTTCCTGGGTATGTCAAGGCTTCTGTTTTGCTTTGTATTTTCGTCTCTTTGCCGGTAGGTGTCTAAGGACGGGCAGTCACTTAACTTCCCTAACGTCCGCTACGGCGAGGATGCTGAGCAATTTGCTGCTGCCGGTACACCAGCACGTGGTGGCAGCAGCAGTGGATATGACGAGTATAGTCGACGGGGATCGTCCTCAGGTCACCCTGACCAGGCCTGGGCTACTCCGGGTCCTGACAGAAGGTAGGCTCGCGTGTGCGTGTGTGTGTTTGTGTGTTTCGTACTTCAAGACCTGCCATTGCCATGTCTTTGTGCTGTGTTGTTCCGCGTGGCGTGGTCTCGCTTACAATGCCTGCCTGCTCCAAGTGCTGGACTACGAGGTACTAGTACTAGTGGTTCTTTGTTGCTACCACCTTTGAATACTTGACACCTTTAGCGAAGAACTAGAACACTTATCTGTTCATGAACCGTAAAGTTTGGCGAAAGTGCCCCACCGCCCTCGCCCGCGGTCATGGTTTGGAGGTTGCGTCCTGTCTGTAGGTCGTACACGACACCCTTGCACCCACATTGCACATTGTGCAGTCAATCCAAACTCAGTTTACCTTTGAGCTGATGCTAGCTCCACAAAGAACATCCTAGCTGTGAGCTTAGTCTACTAAGGCCGTGTTCGAATTGTCTTCATCAACTGTTCAAACAAATTTTTTAAAGAGATTAGTTAAAGTGTCCCATTAAGGGCCGGGTTCCACTGCGGCTCCGCTGCTCATCATCCGCGGCTTGAAACGTCATCATTACCATAGTGACCGCTGCTCACCGCGAACTTTTGCTACGATTCTTGATCAAAAACTGCGAGCCGCGGTCGCGGCTCGACCTGTTTCCCGTGCTTTCCATTGTTTTGTACACGAGAATTTTAAAATTCAAATTTTATTTCGTTGTGTAGGCCAGAAGACGAGGATTTTTTTGATTTTGCGCGCGAGCACGCAGGTAGAACGTCATCAAAAAGCGTGAAGCATGACCGCGGTCCCGCGAGTGTCAGTGGAACCACGCTGCTCCGCTGCATGCAGCCAAGTGCCGCGGAGCAGCGGAGCCGCAGTTGAACCCGGCCCTTAGAACGGTTTCTATCATTTTAGAGTTTTTCAGCGGAATTGTCATGGCGATGATGACGTCCGATCAGATCGACCATCTCCACGTACTACTGTAAAAGCCATCATTCTAACGAGGCGCATTTATAACGATTTCCCAAAATTGACTAGTTTACGTGTACCAAAGGTAACGATTCTCACTCATTCTCAACGATGAATAGGACAATATATGTACAGTTGAACATCGATTATCCGCACATCGACTATCCGACCATTCGATTATCCGTAACAGTTTTTTTGGGCACACGTGCCGTAGAGTACGCACTGTGCATGTAGTGAGCCATTCAAAAAATACGAAAATTTTGAAGAGTAAAAAGGTCGTGCGGCTAGTAATAACCACTGAAAGTGTGCGAGTGACAGTTTTTTCTTATCCGGAACATTTGCTTTATCTGAACACCGCCTGACAGTTGTCTGCCCAGAGGTGGTCGGATAATCGATGTTCAACTGTATCGATTTCGGTATAACGATTTCTATTTTAACCCTTATCCGTCCGACCAGTCAAAAATCTACGACTATCCGTCGATCAGCAAATCCATCATATCTCAGTCATTTCTTGACCAAATTCCATGATCGAAGGGTCTATCGCCATTAGAAAAAAACCAGGCTATCGTCTCAAACAATCGCCGAAGAGCTACGACGCTCCCTTGCAACGATATCGTCCGCGGAATGTAAAATCACGGCAATGCGAATTTTCTGCGCTCGGGAACATTTCAAAGTCAGATTTTTCTTTTTTGCATGACAGTTACGTCACCAAGCACATGCTCATGACGTAAAAACCAAATAAATGTTCTGGTCACAAAAATTCAAAGTCCAGCGATGGAGGAGAGTGAAATGGCGAGACAATTTGGATTCTGCCCGCAGATCTGGCGCTGGGGCAAGTTTGGCAAGTGGCGGCGCTCGACTTGTGGCTTTATAGATGTCGAATGTGGGCTCTGTGCATTCGTCGCGGAAGGACCTTTCCAGGAAGCGCAAGATCATGGAATTCGGCCAATGGAGACTAAAGTTATGATAATTTGAAGGTAAAATATGTCGTGAAATTGCAATTTTGGCCTGCTCAGCGATTTTGTCGGATGGATAAGGGTTAACGAAAGATTTCTCCTCGTTAACTCGTTAGAGTTAGCACTTTGTTATATATATATGGCTTTTACAGTATGTGACGTAGCTATTCCAAACTCTTCGGAACTAATCCTCCCCTCCCATCGGATGAGGTTGTGGAGTTTCGAGGAGCTTCGTTTTTCTGAAGAGGCCAATAAGGCCACCTCTTCAGAAAAATGAAACTCCTCGAAAAGTCAAAGAGTGACAATTCGAACGCGCCCTTAGGATCTCACTCCGTATAAACTTCATTGCACTCTATTGCATACGAGTGTCCTTTCCCTGACTGTAAAATCAATTGGCTCGAAAAATATATTGACTCGACAGCTAAAATGGATTGATGTTTTTAATAACGAAACTCTCCCCTGTTATTATTATTATTATCATTATTCAAAGGATCAGTCGGGGAAGTGAACTGCCTGAAAAGAGAAAAAAAAAACGCCAGACCCACCAGGACTCGAACCTGGGACCCTGCTTGTCATGAGCAATGCTCTAACCACTGAGCTATGAGACCAGGCTGAACCTAGAAGGCGCTGAACCAAGTGCCATCAGTATGTGTGGCACGTGTTGTGAGCTGCCTTTGGAGTGAAAAACTTGTCAGCGCCTTCTAAGTTCAGCCTGGTCTCATAGCTCAGTGGTTAGAGCATTGCTCATGACAAGCAGGGTCCCAGGTTCGAGTCCTGGTGGGTCTGGCGTTTTTTTCTCTTTTCAGGCAGTTCACTTCCCCGACTGATCCTTTGAATTTGAAGTTCTCCCAATCCTTTCCAAATTATTATTATTATTATTATTATGCTTGTTCGCGTTGACATCACCAAGCAAGCTTGGCTAGTCTACCCACCCATAAACGAAATTTTTCGTTTTGTGTAAAAGATCGACTATTATGCACAGCCCCTTACTGCTTTCCGGCCCGCAAGAAACCCTACATATATGGCATGGTGTGTACGTCTTCCTGCACTAAAAGATGGTGCTGTGCAGCTTGCTAAACATCCGACTCTAATCCCAGTATCCTCCTACCAATATATACTGCTGTTCAAGAATACTGTTTTTGCTAAGTTCGTCAACCGACCTCTTTCTACTGTGTATACCTCTTTCGTTAATCTCTTGACTTTCTGTTGTGCAATGTGTGTGTGTGCGTGTGCGTGTGTCTCTCTCTCTCTCTTTCTCTCTATCTCTCCTCTCTCTCTCTCTCTTTCTCTCTCTCTCTCTCTCTCTCTCTCTCTCTCTCTCTCTCTCTCTCTCTCTCTCTCTACCGTGTGGGCACTTTTGTCCTTGCGGTGTTCTCAGATTCTCGGCAAGTGCTACCGGGCCACCGCCCCGTCAAGCTGGGTCATGTCACGTACAGGTGAGCCGAGATACCAGCTTGGCTTGTTTGTTTCCCTGGAGTACCGTGAGAGCTTGGCTTGTTTGTTTCCCTGGAGTACCGTGAGAGCTTGGCTTGTTTGTTTCCCTGGAGTACCGTGAGAGCTTGGCTTGTTTTTCCCTGAATTACATGTACCATGAGAGCTTGGCTTGGGTTTTTCCCTGGAATACAGTGAGAGCTCCTCACTGTAGTTAACATCTTGTGACAGGAAAGTTGTATGACCGAGCGCACTAAAGGCGTATGCTGTAAATGTGCTTCAAAGTAAGTCCGTCAGTGTACAAGGTCCTATAGCAGCTCACTACTCTGTTGTGAATCTCGCTGCCATTTGAAGATGAAGTGAGTACAGATGGACGGCGGCACAACGTGCAATGCCTAATCATGTGTGTGTTTGTGTGTGTGCACGTGTGTGTGTGTGTGTGTGTGTGTGTGTGTGTGTGTGTGTGTGTGTGTGTGTGTGTGTGTGCACATGTGTGCACATGTGTGTGTGTACATGGTTCATGTGTGTGTATCTGTATGTGCATGTGTGTGTGGTGCGTGTGCAGGTGAAGGCAACTCTTGAAGCACCCATCCCCGACTCACTGTGCTGGTCACTGCTTCGCGACAATGGCGTCCGTCTGGACATGCTGGGCCGTGAAACCGGTGCTAGCGTGAGTGTGCAACACAGCGGTGAGCTAGACGATGGCCAGCTGATACGCAACTCCCTCGCAATCATCAAGGGAACCTTGAGACAGGCGCAGGCAGCGCTGCTGGAGGTTGAGCGTCTCATTTTGACGAACCCTCAGTAGGGAGACTGGCCTGGCCTGCTTCGCTCTTCTACTTCCATTCCTGCAAGGTTTATGCAGGTTTTCTGGTGCAAACTGATGCAGATCTGATGATTCCCAGGACTAGAACGGATCCATATTGTCCTGTTATTGGGATTAGACATGTGGTGGGGGCAGAGGTGTTACATTTCGCTGAACAAACACTCTCGTACTGCTGTTGCTTTGTTGTGGCCAGCCTCTACCAGACAGACATTCTTCTCTGGCTCTTACACTGCCTCTCATCATCCTGCTGCATGCTTCAGTGTCCTCTGATTCTCGCTTTGAGATTTCCGCTTTTTGCTGTGCTCGTACGTTTGTGTGAGTGTTTTTGTTTGTGTGTGTGGTTGTGTGCGCGTGCCTGCTTACGCGAGCATGCGACTGTTGTGTTTTCATTTAGCCCGTTTATGCGTGAACTGCATGCCAGCCCTGCCTCCTCTCCCCCACGTATGTTGTACTTCAGTACACTACTATGGTGCATTCCCTAGCGTCAGTTTCATATTGCAATCTCTCTTCCCTTCGTCCGAACTGCGTCTTGAGTTATGTGCAGTTTGCCCTCAAATTTAGATGCCGCGAGGTAACTGTCTGCCTGACAATGGTGTTACTCGTGCCTCGCTGCCTTATCTCATGGCTTCCTTTCATGTCTGTGTGTGTGTTTTTTGTCAGGTTTTTGAGAGTGATGCTGCTGATCGTATTCATTTTTGCAGCTTCATGTTCATGAACACTGTCACTGTACACGATCTTGGTAGCCATGTTTGGATGCTCTCATCTCATTACTATACCGGCACAGTAGCGTTGTTGCGGTGGTGGTGGTGGTGGTGGTGGTGGTGGTGGTGGTGGTGGTGGTGGTGGTGGTGGTGGTGGTGGTGGTGGTGGTGGTTGTGGTGTGCTTGATCAAAATCTGGCCAGAGAAATCCAATCTCGTGAACATAGTTTTTAAACTTTGTTCACGAGATTGGATTTCTCTACTTAAAAGTAGCACCAGGCTCTACGCAGCCCTAGCACCACACACACACACACACACACACACACACACACACACACACACACACGGTTCTGTGCACTCGAACACGGCACATGATGTTGCTTTTCTCTAGCCAGGACTGTAGTTCTCATGGGGGTGGGGGGGATTTCCCTATTATGATGGCCTCTTGAAAATTGATAAGAAAATTTCGATGTTGCTTTTCTCTAGCCAGGACTGTAGTTCTCATGGGGGTGGGGGGGATTTCCCTATTATGATGGCCTCTTGAAAATTGATAAGAAATTTTTGAAATCTGAAATCTCCTGGCGAAATGTGATCTACACTTATTTTGTATACAACTGTTTACGTGTTCGGTTACAAACATACTTCGTTACTCGGTGCGAGTTCAGATATCTCTTACTTCTTAGCATGTCACCAGGAAACCCTATTATTTTACAATACAGGGTTTGACATAACGCTACAGTACATACATGTATAAGGACCCTATATAGCGTTAGGACCCCTAAAGAAAGGGTGTTGATCTGCAGACTGGGCACACAATACACACAGTTTCACTTGTTTTTTTTTTTGTTTTTTTGTTTTTTTTTGTATTTTCACTGCATTGATGTTAGCAGGAGCGCTCCTACGAAGTGTGCGAGTGTACATGAACCCCGTATGTGCCGGTAAATAATTATAAATCTGAAATCTCCTGGCGAAACATGATCTATACAACCAAGAGTTCATAACCCCCGGCCGGGGGGGGGGGGGTATGAACTCTTGATGCAACTGTTTACATGTTCGGTTACAAACATAATTCGTTACTACGGCACGGCACATTGGGCGCATTCGAATTGTCTTCATCAACTTCTCGAACAAATTAGAGAGATTAGTTGAAGTGTCCCAATAGAACGGCTTCTATCATTTTAGAGTTTTTTTTGTGAAACTGTCATGGCGATATTAACTAACGTCCGATCCGATTGACCACCTCGAAGTAGCTATTCCAAACTCTTCGGAACTAATCCATTTCTCCTATCGGATGAGGTTGTCGAGTTTCGAGGAGACTTTCGTTTTCTGAAGAGGCCGATAAACCACCTCTTCAGAAAAACGAAACTCCTTGAAAAGTCGAAGAGTGACAATTCAAACGCGCCCATAATCTACCGATAAAACCCGTTACAATGACCATTGGCCCATGTCCCTGGAGTGCCAAACTCTCAGTATCCAACAATTAACGAGTTGAAAAGCCAATAATTGATGTTGTACTCAGGGTACCCAATATCAAGAGTCCATAACCCTTGCCGATATAACTTATAAGTGTGGATTGGTACTTCTTGCATCTTTCGTTGAAAGTCTGTTCACCAGATAGGGTGTATTCTATTAAAGATTACTTATTTGACGGCCCAGAGATTATCTACAACGACAAAGGACCTGTATTACGACCAAGGAGCACCAGTCAAAGTGACAATCCAACACTTCCAGCAGGGATCGGGAATGGGGTTAAACAGATCTAGTGCATCAATGCTAAGTTACTAAAGAGAAACGGAAAAATAGACTAATAATATAGGATACCCATGACGCTGAGAGAGGCAAAGCAAAAATATGACTACGAGGAAAACGTTTCTAGGCACAATTCAACACAAACTACAAGAATAATAATTATTGAAATATAGAGGAATGAATGGAGTAGGTCTACTCTCAGATTGTACCTAGTTTAACATTTCATGGGCATGCATGATGCGGAGAGAGAATTCAGAATAGCATGCCAGCTACAATGGTCGAGTGAAACTACTGCAGGGACAGTAGTACGCCAATGCTGGGAGATAACTAAAGATTTATGGATGGCAAAGGAATAATATCGGACATGGGAAATGAAAAAAAGGAGATACACTATTGCTAGGGATGGAATAATATGTTCAAGCTGTTGCAGTAGAGTACTGCTAATGTGCTAGTGCTCAAATACAACTAGATGCACACATACAGATATCGGATAGAATGAAATACGGATAGAAAAGAAAAGAATGGTGCCAACATAAATAAGCCTTGGCACCACAGCAGGTAGAGTGACCCAGCGCTAGGGAGCATCACAGAACACATACTAATACACGAAACAAACAAGGTTCCCATGGCAACGCAGGGGATATGCCACGCCGCATGTTACCGTGCTGCACCCATATGTACCTGCACACGGGATGGCCGTCTAGTCAGTGCTGTGAGTGTAGTCTGCAGGAAGTGCTACGCAGTACGCACTGAGCTAACACAGGAGCATGCACGTGCAGCAGGTCACGCAGTGCACTCAACACTCACACGAAGACTGTAACGCATCGTGTATGGGTGACATGAGGCTGAACAGGACTGGCGTGCCGTAATAATCCAGCATGGGTGAGTTAGAGTAAGTCATGGCAGTGTCATCTGCTTCCACCCTAAACAAATTCATGTCCTTGTCAATGCTCGAAGAGCGATTGACGAGCTTGGCTTTCGCTGGACTTGCAGCCGACATGACGGGAAGTGATCGCTGACTCGTCACAATGTCATGCCACACATGTTCGGAATGTGGACGGTGAGGTATTGGGTCGGCAAGCGGCGATGCAACTAGGTTCTTGGCGAGTGGTTTATTAACCAACAGAGGCGGCCCACATCCTGCTGAAGACATGGCCAGTCGGTGGTCATGAGTGCTATTCATTTGTGATGCTTTGCGCCGAGACTTTCCGATTGTCCTGAATGTATTTTTGAAGACCTGCGTCACTCCAGAATGGTGGTGACTAGCTGGCTGACTGGGAGCTTGGCTACTCCTTTCACACGGCGTAGCAGTATTGCTAGCTTCTGCAACATCGACCAAAGCACTACCGGAAGGAGATGCACGAGTACGGAAGATGGCAGAGAAGCCGGATCGAGGCTTGGGCACTACAACGGAAGCAACACTGTTTGATCTCAGCGAATGACCATCCGGGCGCTGTATTGACGAAGCAGAGTGGGGCAGGAAGAACTTTCTAGCGACGCTCACTTTTGCACTTGGCTCACGCACCGCTTCACTGGGATTTCTTTCTGTAGTGACATCATTGGAATTGTGCTTTCCCACTGGCAGTATAGCGTGCACCTTTCTGAAACCTTTAGACCGATCTCCAATACCGATGACATTAAGAGAGGGCAAGGATCTGCTCAGCTTTTTCGAATGGGACGAGCCCAGCTTTCCCGAGCTGTATTCGGCCGAGGAGGGCTGTGACGACCCGCTAGTGTCCCAATTGCTATGCATGGACTCATTGCTGCGAGCCGCCTTGGCTGGGTCTGCACTGTCACTATCCAGGGGTGACGGTGAAGTAATTGAGTTGTCCAGGGGTGCACTGAGGAAACGCTTTACAGCAGTGAGAGGAGATCTGGTCATGCCTGCATTATGCATACTGAAACGCGAGCGAGCATCAGCCACCTGCCCTTTGTTGTCAACATTGCCATTATCCTGTGCACGGTCTTCCTTTGGACCTGCAAAAGCAGAACTGCTACTAGTGCTGTTGGAATGCACGGGATGCGGACTGCCGGGAGAGTGGACGGGTATGCTTCTCCTCTCTGTAGACTTAACCCACTGCTGGTGTCGTTGCTGTTGAGGCTGCTGCTGCTGCTTTTTCTCCTCATCTATTGTTTGTTTCATTTGCTGCCAGGCACGGTAGAGCATGATATTACGCGCTGAGTCCATTGGCAGTCCAGCGAGATCACACGGAGGTTGTATGCGACGCATTGGTGCTGCACCGGCGCCGGCTGGCCTCGCATAAGATGCGGACGTTCGCGTTTCCCCAGAACTACACGACGAGATGCCAGTGTCATTCTTGCTACTAGCGTGGCTATTAGCTGGCAGCGCAGAGTTGGAGTCGTCGGAGTGTGCTGACGAGCTGTCACACGTGTCATTCTCCGTCGTCTCAAAGGATTCTGGAGTGCTCTTGCCCGCACATGGGGGGTTAGCAGTCAAATCACCAGCAGCCTCACATGCACTATCTCCGGAGCTGGTCGATTGAGAGGACAGAGCTTGTAGGTCATTAGCAGAGATCTGGGAGGGTGCAAGGCAATAGCCAGGGTCTTCCCACACAGTCTGAGACTCCCTGCGCAGGTTTTGCGGCGTCGTGTTTGGTATTTCCGTCTTACTTATACTCCTGTCCCAGCCCTCCGTCAACGTGCGGCGGAGAGTCTTTTCTGACGGGCCTGACAATGGTGCAATAATATTGTTTGACCTCGAACGGAATGTGTGTCGATATTTGGGCTGGCTGCGGAAAAACTGTGGACTAGATTGGGATGACTGAATTTTTTTATGCAGTTGTTGTGCTTGTTTTCGCTCTGCATCCAGTTTCTTACTGAAACGATCCCACACGGCTTCCATCTCGATATTGGAAAGCTCATCCTCATCAAGCACGACATTTTCGGTATCTCTGCGACGATAGTATGAGATTGCACCAAAGATACTACATCCGGAGTCATCCTGAAGGTGGCTAGTACTGGATGTAATATTGTTCGCAGGAATCGGTGGTTCCTTCGTTTTGGGGTCGGATTGCTCCGATCCAGAGGAGTGCCGAGTCATCACGGCAGACGAAGAGGTTACCTGTTGTCCCGTTTCAGAAATGTCCATTGTCAATGTCATCATGGCAAGATGATCAGGTAGTCACAGAATTCACTAGAGCAAATATATTGCATCTTGCCTTTCTTGGTTTCTCTTGCCAAGGGTCATACCGCAACTGACACCAAACCAAGTTGGCTCGCAGGCGCCGCAGTTTCAGCTGTTGTTGCTCAAACGCCGGTGTAGTAACATAACAGACCTCCTTCGATTTCTCCCAGGTCTCAAACTTCCTACCAAAACAATCAAGACTCAGATCTACGATGTGCACAAGTCTTCACGGTTCTGTCATCCAAAGTCCGATAAAAAACAGAGCTAGTACTGCGAGCTTCTTCGTACAGACAGTGCTTGTGAGGCCACGGGCCTGACTACAAAGGAATCAAATCGTAACTGCACGACCACAAGGACAGGTGAAGCCTGAAGGCAAGAGTTACGTGCTCTTCTTGGTAACCAATTTTCTTGCCGGATTGACCATGTTGACGTACAGTCAGTAGATCATACAAATCCACCTCAAGGGCCAAGGGTCGAACTGTGGTTTCATCAGTGAGTCTGTACGGTACGCGCGCGGTACGGGTCCGGGTACGACCCCTTGTTTCCAGAGTCTGCGCATGCAGCGCAGCGATCGTGGTAGATCTACATGGTGCGGAACTGCGGAAGACTCTACCCCCGGCCCCCCTATTTGGAGGCCCTATATGGCCCTATATGGCCTTGATCCTTGAAGGGTGGTGGCGTTCCTACGGATGCGGAAAACCCGGCTTCCAGCCGAGTCTCACGCGAACCGTGAAATTTTTTTATATGGCCTACCATTGTATAGCCCGGGATGCGGAACATTCGAACATATACGGTAGATCTGCAAGGTACACGTACCGTATATGGTGTCGTCAAATACATAATAACAAGATTTATCTACTCTTGATAATAACAAGAGCACTCTGGCAAGGTACGTTCGGGCCTGATTGGAAATTTTTATTTGTTTCCATTGCTATCAGGCTCGGCCTCATTTCCTCTGTGCTGCGCTGACGAGTCCACAAAGGACGAAACAGTTCTGTCCGCAGATTGAGTATTTCGCTCCTGCTCTTGTAGCAGTTGAGCACTCTTGCGTGGGGTAGTGCCTTTGCTGTTTGCGTTATGCAGAGCTCACTGACGTGTCAGTTTGAGCACTCTGGCAAGGTACGTTCGGGCCTGATTGGAAATTTTTATTTCCATTGCTATCAGGTTCGGCCTCATTTCCTCTGTGCTGCGCTGACGAGTCCACAAAGGACGAAACAGTTCTGTCCGCAGATTGAGTAATAACAAGAGTAGAGAGAAAACACGACGAGATGCCAGTGTCATTCTTGCTACTACTACTACTACTAGCGTGGCTATTAGCTAGCTGGCAGCGCAGAGTTGGAGTTTATTGATTGATTGATTGATTGATTTTTATTTAAGGATTGTCCAAAGGCCGCAGAGGCCTATCGAGGGGCTCTCCTGTGTGCTGTGAAAGGGGTTTATCTACTCTTGATAATAATAATTATTATTTTTATTATTGTCTCTTTCCCTCAAACCAGTTAATATTTTTATTATTTAATATTATTATTATTATGAAATGACCCAAAGGCAATGTGCCTATCGAGGGGTTCATTTGATTGAAAGAACAGTAGATGTTATTATCTTCCTGTCAAGTTTGGCGGCTTGTATTGGCCATATGATACCGGATCCAGTGAGCAACCTCTAGATCTGCCCCATGGCCCAGCATTTGCTACAACTACAAGACGCTGCTGGACGCGATCAAGACTGGTGGCGCGTGGGTGAATGACCACAATGCACATTGTCGCCAGGTCACTCTCAACTCCAGCAGTCTGCAGTCTGCCCAGATCAGCCAGGAGCTTATCGCAGAACTTCCTCCCACTGAGCAGCGATCACTTTCACGCTTTGTGAAACGCTTAGCCATTGGCGGACTATGCTCGCCAATCGTCAAATTATGCTTTTGATTATGCCACAATTATGCCAACAAATATGTATGCCACGCAGAGTCCCAACAGTATGCTGACGATATCGCCTTTTATATACACTGTCAGTCTACTGGAGAACTTCAGCACAAGTTGACAAGTGAGTTGAACAGACTAAATACGTACCTTGGAAGCATTGGTCTCATCTTGAATGCCCAGAAAACGAAGTTCATGGTGCTTCGGAAGAAGGCTCTGCCTCTTCCGCCGGATCTTACCATTGCATGCGGTGGTGTCGATATTCGACCTTCTGCCACAGCGCGTTATCTTGGCCTCATTATTGACCAACACCTCACCTTTGAGGATCAAGTCAACCATGTATGTACATCTGTTTATAAGAAGATAGGAGCATTCCGCCGCTGCCGCCGTACGGTAGACCACACAACTAAGCGAATATTTTATTTATCCCTCATCCAATCCACTATTGAATACGCCAGCAACTCGTATGCTCACTGTCTTACACCATCTTTATACTCTCGCCTTGTTACTTTAAGTCATATCAGCATGAAACAGGTTTTTGGTCTCCCTCGCCGTACCCCGACTGTCTTTGTTTTGCGGCACGCTAAGTTATACTCCCTCGAATCTCGTCTCAACTTGAGGCTTTTTATTTTTGTTTTCCGCTGTATTCATCAGCTTACAAGTCCTCTTCTTTCCTCAATGTTCACCCTCCAGTCGGCTGCTACTTGCACCGAGAGGCGCACTAGAGGGCAATCATTCTCTTCACTTTCTTTGCCCGCTGCTACCACTAGATATGGCATGTTCTCCATTTCTTTCCTTGGCGCTGATAGGTGGAATTCTCTGCCTGTCTCGTGTCGTCAGGTTGAGCATCTATCCGTTTTTGTTTCGCTCTGTAAAGAGCACTTAGGGTTCCCTGTAACAAGACGGCAACGTCTGTAGGGCCTTCCCTATCAAAATAATAAATTCTACTACTACTACTACTAGCAATAGGGAACCTTGTTGAGTGTGCAATGAAAAAGTTTGTCCGGAAGATAACCACCCCCAGTAACGCTGGCCGTGAAAAGGGTGGCTCTTCACGCAGCTCATGTAGTAGTGATATTTCCGGGGAACCATCTGACTCGACGCCGAGGGCAAAGCCCACCAAACGAAAGCCTGAGAGCCCGAGCGAGAGTCTGTGCCCAAGCACTGAGAGCGTCGACCGGCCCATGTCAGGGACACGCAAGGCAGCCTGCAAGTCGGGCGCTACACTGGACCAAACCAGCGACAGTCCCAGTGCTAGTGATCGTGACAGCCAAGTAGTCGTGAGCCAGATGAAGGTAATGCTGGACAGTTTCCAAGCGCAGCTCCGGACCGAGCTGAAGTCTCTTGTAAAAGACACTTTGGCCGGCCTACTGAAGAAATTTGATGACCTTCACACGACAGTCAGCGAGCAGCGCCTTGACATCAACCGCCTGTCAGCGGAGAATCGTCGGCTCAGGACAGCTGTCGACAAATGTTCCGACGATGTAGTGAGGGTGGAGAACGGCGCCAAGACCGCCATTGCAGAGGTAAAGGAGACGTTCGCCACCATTACTGCCCGCCATCCTGTCGCCACAGCCACCTGCCAAAATCTGGTGGATACGCCCATACAAGGCACACCAGAAGCGACACTCCGTGACCTTGTGGCGGAAGCTACCGACAAGTGCAGCAGGGTTCACAATGTTGTGGTACGCGGCCTGACAGAGAGCAGCTCAGAGAACCTCCCGGCCATAATTGGAAGCCTCGCGCCAAACATAGCGCTGAGTGAGATCAAGTCTGCTACCCGCCTAGGCCAGCAACCGCGCCGTGACACTGCCAGCACAGCTAACACAAGTGCTACAGCCAGTACTACAGGCCAGCACACTGGCGTGAGACCGGCTCGCCTTGTACATGTTGTCCTGACGCCTCAAGCCAAGTCTCAGCTCATGCAACATAAAACGAAAGCTACTTACCGCGGTGAGAAAGTCTACATCCAGCATGACCTGACCCGGCAAGAGCAACAACGGCGGAGAGCACTTGTCCCTAAGCTCCGAGCTCTTAGGGACAAGGGAGTTCAGTGCCACCTGCCCCGGGATGTTATCATGCACAGCGGAAAACCTCTATCCACAGAGGACATTGCCCGTATGCTCAATACTTCCCAATAGGACTCAGCCCGGGCATCCCCAGCAACGCCAATAATAACCTCAAAGCTAAGTATTGCTCATATCAATGTATGTAGTCTTTTTCACAAGTTAAATGAAGTTCATTACCTAATGCATCACCATAAAGTAGATATTCTAGCCATAACGGAGACTTGGTTGACCAACACTGTGCCTAACAACTCCGTACACCTCCGTGGCTATAGCATTTATCGGCGAGACCGACAAGACAAGACTGGGGGAGGAGTATGCATCTATGTCCGTGATGGACTGCAGCACAGTCGAATAGGGATCACGAACGATATAGAAGCAGTGTCGATACATGTACGTCTTCAAGAAATCACACTAAACATTATTGCTGCATACAGATCGCCGTCCACGCCTGTCATATTCTGGCAGAAACTGACTGATACAGTGGACAACATCTCAGGATCCACAGCAGCAAAATCGCACACGATAGTCATTGGTGATTTCAATGTCAATGTTCAGAACCACAATCACCCACACTACACCCACCTCCAAACCTTCTGCAGCGATAACAGTTTACGAAACGTGGTACTCGCCCCCACGAGGCTGCCGAGCAACTCCACCATTGATCTCGCATTAGTACCTAACCTGCTTGCTCAGTTGCCAAACTCACAGCCGCGTGGAAACAATGTCAATTCCATCACATGCTCCGTTCAACCATGCGACGTATCTGACCACCAACTTGTCATTCTCGAGCTATCTACCATGCTACGAACATTCAAAGAAGAACGCATTACTATTCGTAAGCCTCCAGTTCGAGCGATAAACATTCAACAATTCCAAGACGACATTAGCTCCAGTTTGACTGCTCTCCATAATAACAACACTTCGCCATCTGAGATCACTCTAAACGAGCACATTGCCCTATTCCAAACCTCAATAGCTGACA